TGGCCTGGGCAGCCTTTGCTGGCATCTCTCAGACTGGACTGCAGCCCAGATGCTTTACTCAGGTGCATGCACTTACAGCATGAAAACAGTAAGATAAACGCCGGTGGTATCACCACCTTACACTGCAAGAACATTTTATGGTCTTCCTAACTCCGTGTGTTTAATGGAAACATCCCCACCAAGGAAACTGTCAATACATGCTGCTCAAACCACCCTCCCCAAATACCGGAAACCAGGACATCCATTTCTCTGTACCCTTGCCAAGTTGTCTCCAAATGCTTTGTCTATTTTTCTACTGAATGGTTAGACAAACTTGTAATTATTTTCCCCTTCTTAACAAAAATCCAAAAGATAGCAAACAAAATCCAGTGGATAAAATGACATACTTTGAATATGAGTTCCGTGGCAGTCTCACATGGAAGTCATGAGTAACAGCCTCAATTCCTAAATAGCTCTGTTTTACTACTGGTTTTTTGAGCACATTTAAGTAACACAGAATATAAAGGAACAAACAGACAAAACATGAAGTTGATAAAAGATTTCAAATACCTTTCTAAAAACACGAAGTCCATATTTTAGTATTTCTTTCATTTTCTCAAACAACATGGACATTTATAAGTATGAGACTATATATATATATATGCCTTAATAAATGAAGCATTCTTGAATATCTTATATGGAAAACTAGTTAGCTTTACTGTCTTCACAATTTTTATGAATTTGTCTAGATCAAGGACAACTCTTGTGGCTGCTATCCTGAAATCAGGCTAACAAGAAAGAACCCACTAATTTGGAAACAGGAATAATAGCAAGAGAAAAACTTCAAGTCCATGTGACACAATAAATTACCACAGTGAATTTTAGTTACAATTAGCTAAGAAAAACAGGAGAGGCCATCTGAACTTGCAACCCAGTGGTTTGAGAAAAGCAACCCAAAACTTAAAAATTGGTAAGCCAAACTAACAAGGGTGACATGAGGCTGGGCGCGGTGGCTCATGGCTGTAATTACAGCAGTTTTGGGGGGTCAGGGTGGGTGGATCACCTGAGGTCAGGAGTTTGAGACCAGCCTGGACAAAACATGGTGAAACCCTGTCTCTACCAAAAATGCAAAAATTAGCTGGGCATTGTGGCGCGCACCTGTAATCCCAGCTACTCGGGAGGCTGAGGCAGAAGAATCTCTTGAATCCAAGAAGTGGAGGTTGTGGTAAGCCAAGATTGTGCCACTGCACTCCAGCCTGGATGACAGAATAAGACTCTGTCAAAAAAAAAAAAAAAAAAGTGACTTGAGTACTTTCCTGAGAGTAATTTCAGAGGAATATAATTTCACTAGAATGATCTACTGGGAATGAAATGGAAAAGAAAAATGCAGTTGCAATGTTTAGGAAATTAAATTTAGACCTCCAGGGCAGAATTCATCTGCTTATTATTCTGCTTTCTTCTCTGTTAAATGGGATCAATAAACCTTCCCCTGCCTGACTGGTCAAATGAAAATGGAGTGAACAGACTGCTACCCCAGTGGGGCTGCAGGGAGCCTCCTGTCTAGCCGGTCTGTGACGGCTCCTCACAATCTCATACAGTGCTCAGCACATGGTGAGCACTGCTTAAGTACTTGCGTAGATAAATACATCCAAAAATGCACATGAATAGAAAATTAGACAATGTCTAATTTTCAGTACCATTATAATTCTTCCACCTCCCCTCCTCTACTCCCACACCCTGCTGAAAAGGATAGAGGAAGATTAAAAGCAAAGGGCAATTTACGTTATAAAAATGAGGAATTTTCAACTTAAAGTCTCACGTACATAATAACCCACTTCCCACTTTCAGGATGTATTTCTCAAACCAATCTGTAAAAGAAATAATCCAAGATAGCTACCATTATGCCACTGACAGACTCTATTGCCAAGAAACCAGTTCTCTGTAGAGATTTAGGTCCTTAAAGGAAAAGGAAAAAAAAGAAATATAGCAAGCCGCATCCTTTAGATTCTCGTTTTGCATATTGGATCTGGACATTTACATTTGGATATAGATTTACCTATATACTCCAAACCACCTCCCCTCTGCCAGAGAAGAGAAAAATCTTAACGGTAAAATTTTCTGAAAGGAAAAGCACAAAGCTGTACCGATGCAGCCTGTAGGGTTGAATCTCGGTAACAAGCAGGTTATTGTCATCGTATTTTACCCCAAAAGGTTGCTCTGCAATGTATGTGCTGTGGCATGTACTTTAGAAGCCTTTGTCTTCCACCGTGGTCTTTGACGTAATAGAGCAAGGTGATCTGAAACCTCCTCCACCCTACAGAAAACATGACTGGATCTCGGGACTGGAGGATTTCGTTACACCAGCGATGTTTCTTCAGAGGCACATGAAGGGATGAGACGGTAAGATGACCGACAAAGGAAAATCCGCAGAGCGCCAGGCAACCAAGTACGCAGCAAAGGGACCCACCTGCACGTACCCAACATTGGCCTCACTGTTGCACAAGCCACCAGGATAATGGGGTAATGGGGGTCAAAGTTCTGCGCAAATTCACAGGAACATTTTCAGTCTCAACGTGGACACACATGCCAGGTCGAAAACCCTCATACTGAACTCTGGCTTCATCATCTTGATCTTCAAATTATATCCAATTCAGTTATACACGACTGGAAGAAAAAAAGCCCATATGCCATTATCTGTAATAAACAGAACATTAACATGAACAAATGAGCAATTGCTAAGTAAAGGAACTGTGGACAGAATTATGTGGGCTTTATCCAATTAAAAATAGCACACATTTGGCCAGGCACCATGGCTCACGCCTGTAATTCCAGCACTTTGGGAGGCCAAGGTGGGTGGATCACTTGAGGTCAGGAGTTTGAGAGCAGCCTGGCAACATGGTGAAACCCCGTCTCTACTAAAAATACAAGAATTGGCTGGGCCTGGTGGCGCATGCCTGTAGTCCCAGCTACTCGGAAGGCAGAGGTGAGAGAGTCTCTTGAACCCGGGAGACAGAGGTTGCAGTGAGCTGAGATTGTACCATTGCACTCCAGTCTGGCAACAGAGCAAGACTCCATCTCAAAAAAACAAAACAAAACAAAATCTACTACATAGTTTACCTCTACAGTCTCCTCAGAATATGTCCCAACTGTTTTCTTCTCTGCTGCTCCAACGGACAGCAAACGTTGACAACTCTGTGGATATCATCAAGAAACAAGAAAAGGCAGGGCCTGGGCTAAAAACATCAAAGAAAAGTACTAAAGCCAGTGAGATGAGGCTGACTTTTTTACTGGCTGCCCCAAGGCCAAGACATGCACCTTCATCATCTGTGGTGGTGCCTAGCAGTTTATGGAGGAGACATAAACAGTTCGGGGGCTGCCGGACTGGCTGCCACTCATCCTCAGGCAGGAAAGCCATCAAGAATGAGTCAGTGGTGGCTGGTGGTGGGGCCATTGAGATGGAGCTCTCCAAGTACCTGCGCCATTACTCAAGGACTATTCCGGGAAAACAGCAGCTGTTGATTGGGGTATATGCCAAGGTTTTGAAGATTACCCCACGCCAGCTGTGTGACAATGGCGGCTTTGATGCCACAAACATTCTCAACAAGCTGCGGGCTCGGCATGCCCAGGGGACACATGGTACGGGGTAGACATCAAGGAGGAGAGTGCTGACAACTTTGAGGCTTTCGTGTGGGAGCCAGCTGTGGTGCAGATCAATGCCCTGACAGCAGCCTCTGAGGCTGCGTGCCTGATCCTGTCTGTAGATGAACCCCGCTGGACAGCAGATGCTCCCTCAGCAGGGGCCGGGGCCGGGGCCCGGGCCGGGGGCCTTGGCCGCCCCCACTGAGAGGCACCTCACTCATCACATGACTGGCCGGCTGCTGGGTGCACTTACTCTCCTTGGCTGGGTTACGTGATTTTGCAATGCAGGGGTAGTAACTGGCCCCTCTCTTCTCACTGGAGTCTATTTACAGAAAATGTAAAACTTAGGGGGAAAAAAGGCTCCCCCGCCCTGCGGGCCCGCCGGCCGGCCTGACCCTGGCGCTTGGCGCGGGCTGGGCAAAGCCGCCGAGGGCTGGCTGGGGAGGGTGGGGAGGGGGGAGGAGGGGCGGGAGGACGCGCGGGCGGCTCGGGGGCTGCTGGGCCGGCTGCCAGTGCTGCCCGTGGCGGCGGCCGCCGACTTGCCCATAGTGCCGGGGTAACCCGCGGGCCGCGGCCTCCGCGAGCTGGCCCAAGACTGGCTCTCCGGGCCCGCGCAGCTCAAGAGCCTCGAGTCGTACGTGCTGTGCTAGGATCCGCACACCCGCGGCGCGCTCTGGGTGGTGGAGCAGCTACGACCAGAGAGGCTCCGCGGAGACCGCGACCGCCGCGCGTGCGACTTCCGCGAGGACGACTCGGTGCGCGCTACCACTGCGCCACCAACGCCGACTACCGCGGCCACTTGGCCGCCGCCGCCAGCCACCGCTGGAGCCAGGAGGCCACGGACTACGGTTCTACCTGAGCAACGTCGCGCCCCAGGTCCCCCACTTCCGCCAGAATGCCTAGAACGACCTGGAGAAACACAGCCGCGGCTTGACCCGCAGCTACCAGAACGTGTGTGTGTGTGCACAGGGCCACTCCTCCCGCCAGGACAGAGGCTGATGGGAAATCCTGTGTGAAGTACCAGGGCAGTGGCAAGAGCCACGTGGCAATGCCCACACACTTCTTCAAGGTGCTGATCTTGGAGGCAGCAGGCAGGCGAATCGAGTTCCGCTCCTACGTGATGCCCAACGCGCCTGTGGACGAGGCCACCCCACTGGATCGCTTCCTGGTGCCCCTCGAGAGCATTGACTGGGCCTCGGGGCTGCTGTTTGTGCCATGCATCCTGGCGCGGGCAGGCAGCCTTAAGGCCATCAGGGCAGGCAGCAAGTGAGGGCGGAGCCCAGCGAGACTGTGGGTGTATGCGGGCTGGGGAACATTGAAGGTTTTGATTCTTGGAGAGAAAGAAAAGAAAACAACAGATATTTTTACCCCAGAAAAAGCGGATAGTTTAGGTCTGTGTTAGTAAATTTGGTTATTGACCAAATCAAGAATAATTATGTCTTACTTTGACTGGTTCTTTAGTGTCCTAAACTCTAGGTTAGGGCATAAAACGTCAGTACTAGGAAAGGTTGTAGAACCTACCTCCCTATTGTACACATGAGCTAACTGAGCACAGCCTAACTGGGATTGGGCAAGTGAGCCCTGCAGGGTACAGTATTTGAGGGCACTTGCTGGTAGGACCACGCATGTGCAGGGCCAGCCTGGAGAGTGAGGACTTACTTTGTGTCTTGGTGGGAGAAGTTTAGTACAATAAAGAACCAGTCAAAGTAAGACATAATCATTCTTGGTTTGGTCAGTCACCAAGTTCACTCTCTGAGTACTGGAGTTCTGTTCTCTGAGTATTTGAGACCCCTCAACTTGGTGTGAGCTCTGAGGCTGATGCCCACAAAGACAAAATGGTTGGCCAGCTCGGGTGTCTAGTTGGGACATAGGTAGGATTAATACAAGTTCTCCAATTGGAGTCTAGAATCTTGCCCCTACACTAGGCTTCCTCCACCTTTGCCATCGCTCCATAGAAATGTTCTGAAGGCAGAGTGGTCAGCCCCTTGCCTGGATAAGACCGTGAGCCCGTTTTGGTCACGGCATCATGACCACAAGAGCACAGTAAGACTTCATCTGCAGCAAGGTTATCACACTGTTCAAGTAGCGGGAAATGTTTACAAGTTGAATGCACAGGTCAACAAGGGAGAAGTTTTTCTTCATATCGAAGGTCAAGAAACAGCTTAAAAGTGGTAAGTAAAATATTATAAAAAGAGGCATTGCCAGCACACAGTGACTTCGCTTATTTACAAACCACTCCTCTCATTGACCGAAACACAAAGAAACCCTCCAAGGAATAAAATTCTTGAACCTTTTATGACAGCATTTGTTATAGATTTAAAAGAAATAGTTTTGCACATCAAGAATGTGCCAAAACTTGGGATAAAACAAATAGATCCAGCAGTCCTCATTGATCCTAGATAAATGAAACTTATGTTAGGACAAAATGATTTGTACTTGAATGTTTATAGTATCTTTATTCTAGTCACAGAATACCTTAAAATAACCCAAATGACCTTCAAGGGGTCAGTATTAAAACTATGTATGTCAATAACCTGGAATACTACCCGGACAAAAAAAGGAATGCATTGTAGATATACACAACAATGTTGGTGGATCTCAAACGCTTTATGCTGAATGAAAGACTGACCCAAAAGATGACGTTATAGAAAAGGCGAAATCATAGGGGGAGAAAATAAATCAGTGGAGATTGGAGGAGGGGGTGGCTGTAAAAAGGCATGGGAATTTTTATGTCCATGGGATCTATAGTGATGCCTTCTTTCTCATTTCTGATATGAGGAATATGTCCTCTCCTTTTTTTCTTAGTTTGGAGAGAGGCTTATTGGTTTGATGGATCTTTTCAAAGAACAAGCTTTTAGTTGAATTGATTTTCTCTATTTCCTGTTTTCAGTTTTATTGCTTTCTGCAGAATTTTTTTGTTATTTATATTGTTTTGCTTACTTGGATTTAATTGACTCTCCTTTTTCTAGTTCTCTGAGGGAGACGCTTAAATGGTTGATTTTAGAACGTTCTTCTTTTCTGACATATACATTCAACGCTATAAATATTCCTCTATGCACTGCTTTTTGTGCATCCTACAGTTTGGTAAGCGTGTTTTTATTTGATTTGGTCGAAACACTTTTTAAATACCTCTTGAGATTTCTTCTTTGAACAATGCATTTATAAGTGTGGTGTTTGATTTCTAATAATTTGAATATTTTTCTATCTTTCCTATCTTTATTTTAATTCTATTGTAGTCTGAGGGCAGACATGTATGATCCTATTCTTTTTATTTTAAAAATGTATCTTATGGTCTAGATTTCTGACTATCTTGGAGAATGTTCTATGTGAGGTTTAGAAAAATTTGTATTCCACTGTTGGATGAAATAACCTTTAGATGGCAATTATATCCCATTGATGAGAGATTTCATCTTCAGGATTCAACTGTTTCCTTACTGATTTTCTGACTGTTGGATCTGTCCATTTGTGATAGACTGGTTTTGAAGTCTCCAACGATAACAGTGAATTCATCTATTTCTCCTTGCAGTACTATCAGTTTTGCTTCATGAATTTTAACATCATGTGCCATGTGCATTAAGGATCGCTATGGGTTCCTGGGAAATTGAACCCTTTGTCATTATGTACTGCCCTTCTTTATCCCCAACAAATTTCCTTGCTCTGAGGTCTGATCTGTCTGAAAATACTATGGCTAATCACACTTTCTTAGGATTACTGTTAACTTGGTATGTTTTTCATCCATCCCTTTGCTTTTAATCTGTATGTGTCTCTATATCGATGATGGAAATGCAGAATGGTAATATAAAATGGGAATGCAAAAATATACCATTCTAGCACACACTAATCACAAGTGAGTTTCTCATAGACACCCTATAGATGGGTCTTGTTTTTGATCAACTCTACTAGCAATCTCTATCTTTTAATTGGGGTACTTAAAGCACTGCCGTTTAAAGTAATTATTGATATAAGCAGGTTAACACCGATCACATTGTTACTGTGTTCTATTTGTTGCCCTTATTCTGCATTCCTAATTTCGTCTTCTGTATTTTTGGGCCTGTTGCGGTTTAGTTCAGTACTTTATATAATTCCATTTTCTCTTCTTTTCTTAGCATATCAACTATATATTTATTTTTTAGCGGCTGTCCTAGAGTTTGCAATATATATTTACAACCAGTTCAATTTCACTTTCAAATAACACCATATTGTTCCATAGGTAGTGCAAATATCCTATAACAACCAAATAATATTAATTACTCCCTCCAATTCCTTGTATCATTGCTGTCATTTATTTCACTGACACAGAAGCATTTATATTATATAATGTATAATTGAATACATTGCTGCTATTATGACTTTGAACAAACTTTTATCTGTTATATCAATTAAGAGTCAAAAAATAACTCTTTTAAAAGCTTTCTTTGTTTGTTTTTCCATACTTTCTTTCTTGGTGCACATCCAAATTTAAGACCTGTATCATTTTCCTTTTCCCTGAAGAACTTATTTTAACATTTCTTGTAAGGCAGCAAATTCTCTCAATATCTGTTTGTCTGAGAAAGTTTTTTATTTCTCCTTCACTTTTTAAGGATAATGTTGCAGGGTACAGAATTTATGAATGTGGATCTAGTGAACTTGCTGACGAGATCTGCCTTGCGAGAAATGTTCAGATAAGTTCTTCAGAGAGAAGGAAAATGACATAGGTCATAAATTTGGATATGCACTGAGAGAGAAACAACATGGAAGAATAAATAAAGGAATTTTTTTAGAGGTTTATTTTTTGACTCTTAATTGATGTAACAAATAACAGTTTGTTCAAAATCATCACAGCAACAATATATTCTAGGCTGGCATTTTTATGCTTTTTCTCTTCACACTTAAAATACGTCACTCCTGAATCTTCTTGCTTGCGTGGTTTCTGGGGAGGATCACACGTAGTTTTTGTCTTTGCTCCTCTATAGGTAAGTTCCCTTTTCACTCCCCATCCCAAACTTCTTTCAAGATGCTTTTTACTTACCTTCAATTTTCTCCTGTTGGAATATTAAATGCCCAGGTGTCATTTGTTTGTTTGTTTGATTGTTTGCATTTATACCCCTTGGTGTTCTCTGAGCTTCCTGGATCTGTGGTTTGGTATCTGATATTAGCTGGGAAAAGTTTTCAGTCATTAGCACTTCAAATATTTCTTCTGTTTCCTTCTTGCTTCTTTTTCTAGTAATCTCATTATGCATATGTTATCTTTTTGCAGTGGCCTCACCATTCTTTGATATTCTCTTCTTCCCCGCCCCCCGTTATTTTTTTCTCTTTGTTTTCAGTTATGGAACATCTATTGCCATCTCCTCGACCTCAAAGATTCTTTCTTCAGCTGTGTCTAGATTACTGTTGAGCCACACACAAGGATTCTTCATTTCTGGTACAGTATTTTCGATCTCCAACACTTCTTATTTTTTTCTTAGAATGTTCACCTCTCTGTTTGAATTACCCATTTCTGTACATTCTCTACTTTTTTAATTAGTGCATTTAACACATTGGTCATAGCTCTTTTAAATTCACAGTCTAAGATTTATGACATTCATGGTATATCTGGATCTGATACGCATTCTTGCTCTGTCTTCAAATTATGTGGATTTTTTGTTCTTTTTGTAGGCCTTATAATTTTTTATTGAAAGGTAGACACGATGCACTGGGTAAAAGTAATTTGATAAAGAAGTCTTAAGTGATGTAATGGTACCATGTAGTGGGAGGGGACCTTCCTACAGTCCTGTAATTAAGTCTCTGTCTTTTAGTGAGCCTGGTCTATAAAAGTCACAAGTGCCCTTCCGTTGTTTTGGTTTTTGAATTTTTTCATCCCCTTAGGTAATGAAGCTAGTGTTGGATATTTTCCTTTCGCCCAGTGAGTTAGACTCATAAAATTTCAGTAGGTTGGCTCTGGTAAAATAATTTCTCTTGAGAACAGGCCTTCATAAGCAGAAGATAATGTATATTTTATAATGGTTCCTTTACCCTTTCTTGTACCAGAGGTATGAGAGTTTTCTCTGACACTCACTTTGAGAACCTGGAATAGCTCCTGGAGGTAGAACTTCCAAAAGTAGGGGGGCCTCCCCATTCCCGGATCCCTCTTGAGTTTTTACCTCTCAGGCGTGTCCACACTGAGCCTCTAGCAATTCATCAATTAAAATTTAGACTTTCCCTCCCTGGTACTTGTTTCTAAGAAGGTTTCAACTTGAGAGTTTCCACTCCACTCCAGTTAGTCATGAAATATCTGCCTGTGACTCTCTCCGATTTTCAGAGCAGCGGTTCACCTGTGATCTCATTTCTCCAGTGGATCTAAAAAGAGTTGTTGGTTTTTCAGTTTGTATGTCTTTTCTGCTTGTTAGAATGAAGAGGCCACTTCTAAGCTTCTTACGTGCTGGACCAGGAGAGGGAAGCCAATAATTGCTATTTTTCTCCACGCACCTCTCTTTGTTAAAGAGTCTGGATCTGGAATCAGTTGTATGTTCTTGGCAATTATTTATTGAGATTTTTCTGGCCTCCCACAAACATTTGTACCCAGGCAAAAGATGAAATGTGAGTTCTGCCATGCTGATAATAAAGCAGAGCAAACAGTGTGTGTAAAGAGCACACTCTTCCCAGTTCCTGACCCTCTTCTGCCCCAACCTATCTGCACTTTCTGTTCTTCTGACCTGGAACTCTCTTACTTGGTTATGTGCATACCTCGCTATTCTTACTTTATGTAGGCATCTGCTCGAATATCAGTTCCTCAAAGAAGTCAGTCTTGCTAAATTATCAGAGTGCTGTCTATCTCTTTAACCTATTTTATTTGCTTTATGTTATAATATGTGTTTTTATGTTTGTGTGTGTATAATAGAGCCAAATACATATGTACATATGTGTTTATTTTATATTCACATACAATTATTTACCTCCCATACTAATAACACAATAATAATCCATTTTTTTGGTGCTTACTGTGGTCCAATGCCAGATGTTTATCTTTTATATACGAAGAAACTGAGGTTCAGAGAGACTAAGTCATTTGCTTAAGTTCCAGAAACTGGTATCTAACAGAACCAGGGTTTAAACTCAAGTGCATGTGACTCCCTAAGTCATCAAGGAACACACAGTCTCCATGATGTGTGGCCCAATGAAAGAACATTCACATTTATATATTATTTATATGTGTGTGTGTATATATGCACACATACATGCATATACCAATTATGTATGTATATATTATGATATATGTGTTATATCCATGTATTTATATATCATGTTTATTAATATCTATGACATGTATATAATATGCATTATGGCATATGCTTCTTTATTGTGTGTCTCTCACTGAAATGTAAGTTCTCTGATAGTATGAGCTTTCCCTGGTTAACTGCTCTGTCCCCAGGACCTAGAGGACCAGAAACAGTCTGCAGGTTGTTCTTACGGCTCTTCTAATATTCTGATAGTTTTTCAGGTGTTCCCCATAATTCTTTTAGGCCTTTGTACAAATATCTGTTGAGTAAATGAATGCATTTGTGAGTGAATATAACCATCAATAATGGATAAATTAAAATGAAGTTTTGAAAATTACAGTGGTCTAGATGATATGGAAGCTTCAGGAACAGACAAAAATGCGACTTGGCATGTAACAAGGCTATGTTGGCATTTCTTTCTTCCCAATGATATTAACATTTACCTTATTGACCCTCAGTTTGCAAATGGGGTGTTCAGGTGATGAACTGGAGTAGAGGCATACATTCATTCATGAAGAAGCCTTACTTTTGAGGGAAATGTTTACAGGACAGAAGGGGAAGGGAGCATTATTACAATGCAAGACAACTCCCAGACTTGTTCAGAGGCCAGCTTAAAATTCTCCCAGATTAGTTTCTGTTTTAGACTATATGGATAGATCTCCAATAGCTATAATTAAGGTTTTTCTTCTCAAGAAGAAAAAAGTGATCAATGACATTTTCTAAGTTTTATTTTAATTGTGTGGCAAAATACATCTCTCAAATGCTGTCATTTGTGAGGACTTCAACAGAGGACTTAATGAGGGTTTGAAAACATGCAGACAGTAATCCCATCTCTACTAAAAATACAAAAAAATTAGCCAGGTTTGGTGGCACACACCTGTAGTCCCAGCTACTTGAAAGGGTGAGGCAGGAGAATTGCTTGAACCTGGGAGGTGGAGGTTGCAGCAAGCCAAAATAGTGCCACTGCACTCCAGCCTGAGTGATTGAGAGAGACTCCATCTCAAAAAAAAAAATGTTAACTGTTTCCAAATTCTCAAGAGCTTCCAGAGAAGTCAAATGTAGTAGATACATAATTACTGCCTAAGGGCTGACATCAACTGAAGACCTATTTATGAGATCTCTCTATATAAACACATACACAACCATACATATATGACCATACATGCATATACATACATATTGCACGTGTGTGTGTGTGTGCGCATGCGTGCACACACACACACACATTATACATTTCTCTCCTTGGGTTTCAGGGCATTAAAGAATACTGTTAACTTGTGCTTTCAGGTAACCATCATTGGCCTTCAAATCTTTACTGGGCCCTTCCATCAGAAAGCCACAGTCATGATGTGTGTGTGTGGTAACTTACTGCAGCAACAATAGGAAGTAAATGAGTATAGGAGCCCAGCATTCCTCTTCCCTTGACTTCCCCAGAACCATCTGAGGTGCCTGTGATCATGCCAAGAATAGGTTAAAAGGTCACAGACCACCCAGCCACACACAGGAGAGTCTAATTATTGGCTTCCTCTTAGACTCTAACTTTCAAACCTTTGGTCAAAGATTTGACTTCAGCCCACCAAAATCATGTCTATAGCCAGATATTTGGCCTTTGCAACTCCAAAGCTCAGGATTGACACAGGTGGTGAAGGTGGAATTCTTGGGGAAGCGGCAGGAAGCAGGAGTCTTAGTAAACACCACAATGTACTTTATCTTCATAAGGCAGGAAGACATTTTATACACTACACTGAGATATTTGCCTAATCAGGGCAACCCAGTTCACACTCAATGTGTAAGTAAGCAGGAAGAGAGGGTTAATTTGTTGATCCTGGTCTTACAGCTGGTAAATAGCATAACAGAGATTCTCTTTTTTTCCCTAGCCTTTATTTTCTTCTTCAAACGAGGAATTTGGAGCCCCTTCTGGATCTTGTACATCTGCCACCTATGACGAGCCCTGGACCAGAACCCAGATGACCGCCATCAAGGCAGCCTCCTTCACATTGTCCCAGCCACTGCTAGTTACAGGCAGAGTGAAGTTAAGCCCTTACTGAGGCTTAGGAGGTCTTCTCTGATGCACCTGGCCTTTGGTCTCACTGGGCAAAGTTGGTCTCCCATAAACATCCTATTCCCTGTCCCCACACAGCATCCAGCACTAGGCCCTGGCACATTGCAAGACTCATGTGTTCTCCTCTCCTCTGCTTATGGTCTCCAGGTAGCTGTACTTTTTTTTTATGCATTAAATCACAAGTGTCCTCTCTGGCTGAACTTCTCTGATAGCCTTTGTACAGAATGAGGGTACTCTTGTTTGTCTCCAGAGTTTCCACCTGAAGCCCTATCTCACTCCTCTCTGATTGGTTATTTTCCTTCTTCCTGCAACAGACAGAATCCGGATCTCGCTAAATCTGTACTTTATTCCTTAAGCATCTGGCACAGTGCCCAGTACATAAAGGTCACTGATAAATGTTTTTTCAAAGAGTGATGAATACATAAACATAATAAAGTAGAATGTTATTATTGATAGAAAATTAATTCTGGAATCTCCCAGCAGCACCATCCAGCCCAGGGTGAGATAACGCCTGAAAGAATAACTTGGAGGATAAATTCTAGCCTGACCCTTTGGAAATGGAGTGCTGCGGTGACTTTTTTCTTCTTAGTTTTTACATTTCATTTCAGTAACTGCATTCCATTTCCCCCACAGTGGAGCTGTACGTCTCGTAGAGCACATCCACATAGAGTGAGTGTGTTGGGAGATTATGCCGGGAAATGAAGATAAACATCAATTTACTTGAGCCTAAAAATAAAAGTTTCATGATAAGATAAATCAGTAATATCAATCTTGCCCTGCATTTAAAGGTAGATGAATGGATGAGTCTAAGCAGTGATACTCAAAAAACATTCAACAGAATCAGGGAAAGCAGAAGAATAATTTTGACCAGTACTTGGTTAAGGTGGGGGTGGGAGGGGAAGGCTGAACAAGGAAATACAGTTCAGAAGTGCTTTTTTTCTTTCTTCCTTCCATCTGATTTTTCACCACAAGCTTGGCTTAAAGTCTGCATGACTCAAGAAACTCATATTCTAAGTCTTGTTGCTTCAGCCTCCTATGTTAGTGATTATATGTCTTAGTCCCCACAGTCTGAAATTGTAAAAGTCAAGAAGTCTTGGAGGAGGATGTGAGTTGAGGGGATAATCGCAAGCTGCCTGAGGTTTCTATCCTTGACCGTAGAAAAGCAAGCCCTACAAATGTGTTTGCCTTAAGGTAAGTGTTTGTTTAAAACTTCACCAGGAGAAATCTGGTTTCCCTTATTCTCCACATGTGTTCTTATTTTCTTAATCCTCATTTATGTAACCAATTTCTTGACTACGCCGGCCATCTTCCTCACTTTAGTACTGCTGACAGAGTCTGGCCAAGAGGACCCTTTCCCTCTTCCTGACCCTCTACCTTGTATTAGAAAGCATTAACTCTTAAGCATACTTGTCTGTGAGAATTTACTTTAACATCTCCCAGGAATATAGAGAAGTTGTTAATATCCAGATTGAGGGCTGACTGTAGGAATACATGTCCAGAAAGAAGATGAGAAGGGTGAAGAAAACTTCTAGCAAGAACATAGTTGAAATGATGATTCGGAAAAGTTGTCATTTGCTGGTGAGAAAAATAGAGGTAGGATTTGATAGATTGGGTTGAAACATACCTGGATTTAAGTACCTGTTGTTTCTAGGTAAGGTTTTTATCATGGAGCAATTCTTGGTGCTTTCATCAATGAAATGTCATCTGGTTTCTGATTTCTGGCTACAGTTTCCCTACATGCCATTATTTGTATCTGTCATATTTGTGCTGATAGATTATGTCCTCTGCTTGCCTTGCTTATGGTTGGATTTCTACCTTTTTATTCAGCTGCTGCCTGTCTTCCCTGCTTGTAAGCATTCATTGTCTATATAGTTAGCCTGACTATATATAGGTTTTCCGCTTGCAGGATGGGTGGTGTTTTACCTGGGATGTTGGTCGTCTTGTTTTGCCTTGAAGACTGCTGCTGGGTCATTGATGAAACTAACCATAACATCAGTCTCAGTTTCAATTCTCAAATATTTATACCTTTACTTTCTTTCTTTTTGTTGTTGTTGAGACTGGGTTTCACTCCTCTCACCCAGGCTGGAGTGCAATGGTGCGATCATGTCTCACTGTAGCCTCAACTTCTTGGGCTCAAGTGATTCTCCTGCTTCAGCGTCTCGAGTAGCTGGGACTACAGGTGCACGCCACTGCACCCAGCTAACTTTTTGTAGAGATGAGATTTCACCGTTTTTCCCAGGCTAGTCCCAGGCTCTGAGCTCTAGCCATCTGCTGGTGTTGGCTTCCCAAGTGGTGGGATTACAAGCATTAGCCGTGGTGCCCAGCTTGTACCTTTACTTTTATCATTCCCCTATGGTTTAAAACTATGCCCTTCTGGCACTATCTTTTGTCTAACTCTTTAAGGAACATTCTGGACTTAATTTTTTCTTCCCATCTGTCCTTCGATATGACACTGGATAATGGGCATCTGGGCAATTAAAATTTATCAGTATAAATCATGGTTACATATTTAGTTGTTTTAGAATGTTATAATTATATAAACCTGCATTTTAAAGTTGGGTATAGCTTTATAGTTTGATAAACTTATTTTTTTGTTTTATAAAATGAGTTTATATAGGTTGTCAACTTACTAGCAAAATCTTACACTTGAAGACTTTAAAGGGTAGGTGCTCCTACATCTCACCCAGAAACAATGTTTCTTTCACACAATATCTTCCTTTAGCAGTTAGAACCCAGTCTCATGAAATAGCATATATCTGTCAGAACAGTTTTACCCAGTGTTACCTTTGTTCTATGTTTGGGGACTCACTGACCATCTTGAGATCCAGTCATCATGTGGTATTGTGAGATCCACTATATTCTCAAGTACTAGAAACCTGAGATCTTAATTGACACAAAGCCTGAAAAAAGACTGTAGCAGTTGGCTTGGTGGTGAGAGAAACTGGCAAAAATGTGGAAGTTAATAGCTGCCGCCATTCATTTACAGCTCCTGGGTTGGTGATCCAGAGTTGTTGAAGCTAAGAAGCTTCTGGCTGGGCCTGGGTATGGAAGAGAGGGAGTTAGTTTTAGTTGGCCTTTTTCCATTATTGTTTTTATTTAGTGTTTATTACATGATTTTCACTGTGCTAGGGTTACAAAAAGGAATAAGAAGGGTATCTTAAAAAGGCAGAATTGTTTTTCCTACTGGAATTTTGAGCCCTCTTAGCATTTCCTCAATGTGTTTATTCCAAACCAGAAGCATTTATCTTCCTTATATATCTTCCTTATTTGATTTTCCTAAGTCAAAAACACTTAGGAAAATGTAATTTATTTTCTCTCTGCTATCCAATTCTTGTGCTTTTTTTTTTTTTCTTTAATACTTTATTCTGGAAGGATTTTAATATGGAACGAAAGTACTATTCTTTTTTTGGATGTAGAGTTTTGCTCTGTTGCCCAGCTAGAGGGCAGTGGTGCAATCTTGGCTCACTGCAGAATCTCTGCCTCTTGGGTTCAAGTGATTCTACTGCCTCAGCTTCCTGAGTAGCTGAGACTGTAGGCAGGTGCCACCATATTCTAGGGCTAATTTTTGTATTTTTAGTAGAGATGGAGTTTTATCCTGTTGGCCAGGCTGGTATTGAACTCCTGATGATCTCAAGTGAGCCACCTGCCTTCCTCCCAAAGTGCTGGGATTACAGGTATAAACCACCACACCCAGCCTAATCTTATTTTCTTTAGTATAGGTGCCTTTAAAGTTTGAAAGTTCAAAGAATTTTACTCTAACTTATTTCCCAGGAAATGAGGCTTGAAATGAGACAATGTGGCCATAGGTTATCAAGAGCTGGAAGGCACTGGCATCCATTTGACAGTTGGCAGGGCAGGGGATGGTCAGAGAGAGAGAAAGTGTAAGTATGCGCACGCATGTGTGCCTTTGTGTATGTTAGGGTGTTTAGGAATTTCGCTTGTTTTTCCATTTTGTACTACAATCACACATTGCTTAACAGGGATACATTCTGAGAACTGTATCATTAGGCAATTTCATTGTTGTGCAAATAGTGTACTTACACAATGCTAGATAAGCTAGCCTACACTCACCTGGGCTATATGGGGTAGCCTGTTGCTTCTGGCATGTTGCCGTACTGAATGTTGTAGGCAGTTGTAACCCAATGGTAAGTATTTGTGTATCTAAACATGAAAAAGGTACAGTAAAAATACATATAAAAATGATATACTTAATATAGAACACTTAACTGTGAATGGAGCTTGCAGGATTGCAAGTTGCTGTGGGGAGTCAGTGAGTGTGAAAGCCTAGGACACTACTGTAGACTTCATAAACACTGTACACATATGCTGCACTAAAGTTATAAGATGATAAGTTTATTCAATGATACTTAGCCTCAGCTTACTGTAATGGCTTTTTTGTTTTGCTTTCCTTTTTTGCTTTTTGTTTGGAGACAGTCTGTCACCCAGGTTGGAGTACAGTGGTGTGATCACTGCTCATTGCAGCCTCAACCTCCTGGGTTCAATTGATCCTCCCACCTTAGTCTCCCTAGTAGCTAGGACTACAGGTGGACAACATCACACCCTGCTCATTTTTGTATTTCTTGTAGAGATGGGGTTTCACCATGCTGTCCAGGCTGGTCTCAAACTCCAGGGTTCAAGTCATCCTCCCCACTTGGCCTCCCAAAGTGCTGGGATTACAGACATGAGCCACTGTGGCCAGCCAGCTTACTGTAACTTTTTAACTTTATAAACATTTAATTTCTTTAAAACTTTTTGGCTATTGTTACAACATTTAGCTTAAACACACTGTACTATGTACAAAAATATTTTCATTCTTTATATCTTTACTGTAAGCTTTTTTCTATTTTAAAAATTATTTTTAATTTTACTTTAAAAACTTCTTTGTTGCCTGGGCATGGTGGCTCTCATGCCTGTAATCCCAGCACTTTGGGAGGTCGAGGCGGGTGGATCACCTGAGGTCAGGAGTTTGAAACCAGTCTGGCCAACATGGTGAAACTCCATCGCCACTAAAAATACAAAAATTAGCTGGGCATGGTGGCAGGAGCTGAAATCACGCCACTGTATTCCAGCCTGGACAACAGAGCAAGACTATCTCAAAAAAAAAAAAAAAATCCCAGCCTTCCCAGGGTCAAAGTTATCATTCTCAGTGTCTTCCATCTCCATATTTTGCCCCACTGCAAGGTCTTCAAGGGCAATAACGTGAATGGAGCTGTCATCTCCTGTGATGTCAGCCTTCTTCTGGAATAACTCCTGAAGGAGACCTGTCTAAAGCTGTTTTACAATGAACTTTTTTTTCTTTTACGTGTAGAAGGAGTATCGTCTAAAATGGTTAAAAATACAGTGTAGTAACTATATTATTGTTACTGGTCATTGTCAAGTGTTACATACTGTACTTAGTTCTATATGCTATCTCTTATAACACTGGCAGCTCAGTAGGTTTGTTTATGAAAGCACCACCACAAACACTCACATAATGCATAGTGCTAAGATGTCACTAAGCAACAGGAATTTTTCAGCTCCCTTAAAATTTTATGGGACCACCGTTGTATATGAAGTTTGTAATTGACCAAAACCTTGTTATGTGGTGCATGACTCTATAAAGTACATTATTATTAACTGTAGTCGCCATGCTATAAGTCAGATCTTCAGAACCTAATCATTTTATAGTGGGAAGTTTCTATCCTTTGACCCAAATCCCATTTCCCCACCTGCCAGCACTGGCAAATACCTTTCTACTCTTCGTTCCTACGAATTTGACTTCCTTAGTGAATACCTACTTTTTCCCCAATGGTTTATAATCTATTACTGTACTAAATTCTTTTATTTGAGACCAAGGTTTACTCTTGTTGCCCAGGCTGGAGTGCAATGGTGCGATCTTGGTTTACCACAAGCTCTGCCTCCTGGGTTCAAGCAGTTCTCCTGCCTCAGCCTCCCAAGTAGCTGGGATTATAGGCATGTGCTACCATGCCCGGCTAATTTTGTACTTTTAGTAGAGACAGGGTTTCTCCATGTTGGTCAGGCTGGTCTCAAACTCCTGACCTTAGGTGATCTGCCTGCCTCCCAAATTGCTGGGATTTACAGGCATGAGCCCCCACGCCTGGCTTACTGTACTTAATTCTTTTGGGCCTAAATTGGTCCTCAGCTGGCTAGTAGAGCCTCATCAAGCTGGCTGTTTTATTCCTCTGCCATGTCCTCATCATTCTATGAAAACTTCTTTCTTCCTGGTGTAACACAGATCTTTGTTACCTGCTCAGCTGTAGCCTTGGGATCAGGCCTATTCTCTGAGGAGTGATCATTCTCTTTAGTGGAGAATGGTATTGGAGACTATGATAATGGGCCCTAGGTGTGCTCTTTGCTTCTTGGCCCTTTTAGCAAACAGACATAGGAAACATGCATGTATACATATATTACATACGTGTGTGTATATTCACATACATTCACATATAAATATATCTTCCCATATATATGTGGATTCATGCCCATGCACATAAATCTAGAAATCATGAATTCACACTGATATCTACAGTATCAATGCATCCTCTCAGGATTTCTTTGCTTCTGTCTTTTTCACAGCAAGAACCCAGGGTTCTTTCTTGCCTTCTGTCTTTTTCACAGTGAACAACAGCAACACATTTACTCAACCTTTAATAATATATCTAAATAGGTACAGAATTGCTTTGCCCATTCCACTACAATAAGTAACTCTACAAAAATTTTTAGGAATTGTTTGGCAGTTCTGCACCTGCCCTACCCCACCCTGCCACGATTGAGGGTATAAAGTCAAATGTGTTCACAAATTACTTGGGATTATTTCTGCCTGCCTGCCTGCCTCGCGGTTGGTCAGTGAGATGGGTGGTTTGTCTGTCTTCTCTCCACGATATTTGCTGTCCATGTGAAATATGAGTAGGTTTCTTTGTTCTGGTTTGCTTTAGCAAACTTAAAGGTAGTGTTTTCCCTTTCCATTCTTACTTTTTTTTTTTTAAATATGTACAACATTATAAAAGACAAAACTAAATAAAAAGGTAAGTTTAATGAGGTCTTCATCTGAGAGCTGTTCCAGTCTGTCATCCACCCTTGCAGGGAAACAATTTTAGTGTTTTCTGCTTTTTTTTCTTTTTTTTCTATTTTATATAAAAATAAGCAGACTTTAAAATTTTTCAGCTAGGTGTAGTGGCTCAGCCTATAATCCCAGCACTTTGGGAGGCTAAGTTGGGCAGATCATCTGAGGTTGGGAGTTTGAGACCAGCCTGACCAACATGGAGAAATCCTGTCTCTACTAAACTACAAAATTAGCTGGGTGTGGTGGCACATGCCTGTAATCCCAGCTTACTCAGCAGACTGAGACGGGAGAATCACGTGAACCTAGGAGGTAGAGGTTGCAGTGAGCCAAAATTACACCATTGCACTCCAGCCTGGGCAACGAGTGAAACTCTGACTTAAAAAAAAAAAAAAGCAGCTGGGTGGGGCAGGCACAGTGGCTAATGTCTGTAGTCCCAGCACTTTGGGAGGCCGAGGTGGGCAAATCACGAAGTCAGGAGATCGAGACCATTCTGGCTAACATGTTGAAACCCCATCTCTCTACTGAAAGTAGAAAAAATTAGCCGCACGTGGTGGCACATGCCTGTAGTCCCAGCTACTTGAGAGGCTGAGGCAGGAGAATCACTTGAACCTGGGAAGCAGAGGTTTCAGTGAGCTGAGATCGCACCCCTGCACTCTAGTCTGGGTGACAAAGCGAGACACTGTCTCAAAAAAAATAAAATTTAATTTAAAAAGTTTTTTTTCTTACATAAAAAGTAACATCTATTGTGTTCTTTTGCACTGTTTCGCCTTTAAAATGGAATAATATTTCTTGGAAGTCACTTTGTATCAGTTCATATAGCTCTTTCTTAGTATATATTTTTATAATTCTAAAAAGCTCGTTTTAGATTTTATTTTCTCCTTTAGTTTCTGTCTTCCTCCATTCTCTTACACCTTGACTGATTATATCTTTTAAGTTGTTTCTTTTTACTGTTATGTGTGCATAGTTTATGCACATCCAGTATTGCCAAAATTTTATACTTTCAGCATGTCCTATTATTTGCTTGTAATCTCAACTTTACTGTTGGTCAGAGGTGGTGTCCTAGGATTTGGTTCAGATGTTGTAAAAGAAATCCCAAATTAGTTTTTAATAGATGGCTTATTTTTCTCTGGCTTACCAGACTCTGGTTGTTTATCTCTGGACAGTTTTCAAATTGCTGCAGTGTAGGGGACCCAGGCATCCCTTGTGTGGTAGTGTTCTGCCATTTCTAGGCTCTTGACTAAGATAGAACTGGAAGGGGAGGCAATGAACCTTCCCTAGAAGCCAGGACCCAGAAGGGATACCTCACCTCTCTTCACATGTCATTGACTAGAGCTTAGTTACATGCCCATACAAGCATTAAGATGTTGAAAAATCTATGTGAGCATGTGTCCAGCTAAATGTTCTTAAAGGAAGGGTAGAATGGATATTCCCTAATCACAGGTGTTGTCTCAAGATACTTACAGCTTCTGGGTTTTTTAAAATAACTTTTATGTAATAAAAGTTATATCTTTTATTATATAAAACTGTGGCTACCAGTTACACTTTTGAAGTTATACTCAGGGTAGTGGTGTGCATTGTTCTTCATGAAGAAAGGAACTGCCAGTTTCTTTATAAAAATGTCAGCTGTCAGCCAGGCATGGTGGCTCACGCCTGTAATCCCAGCATCCGCTGAGGCGGGTGGATCACGAGGTCAAGAGATTGAGACCATCCTGGTCAATGTGGTGAAACCCCGTCTCTACTAAAAATACAAAAATTAGCTGGGCATGGTGGCACATGCCTGTAGTCCCAACTACTTGGGAGGCTGAGGCAGGAGAATTGCTTGAACCCAGGAGGCGGAGGTTGTGGTGAGCCGAGATCGCACCATTGCACTCCAGCCTGAGTAACAAGAGTGAAACTCCATCTAAAAAAAAATGACAGCTGTCTTTTTAAAAGTTGTTACTACCTGTAGTAGGTAATTGATTCAGGCAGAGAAGGACTTTGCAGCTTTATTTCTTCCTGTTAGCTGTGGATTAGATTCTCCACGCAGTGTTGCATATTGCCTATTACAGTTTCTGGTTCTTGATAGTACAGATGCTGTTGGCTTTAATTTAGGAATTTCTCTAATCTTCCTTCAAATAATTCAATACTCTGAATATTTAACATGTGTTACATTTTTTATAGTTTAAGACAATTTGAGATTGTGTTATTATGCTTAAAAGGGAGTTGTAAAGAGCTAAAAGATTCTTTGTAAGACTTTCCTCTCCTGCATCTGATTTAAATTGTGTTTTATAAAAGTCATTTAAATAATTTTTTTCTTTTTGAGCTGGAGTTTTGCTCTGTAGTCCAGGCTGGAGTACAGCGGCACGATTTCTGCTCACTGCAGCCTCCACCTCCTGAGTCCCAGTTCAAGCAATTCTCCCACCTCAGCCTCCCGAGTAGCTGAGATTGAAGGCACATGCCAGCATGCCCAGCTACATTTTGTATTTTTAGGAGAGACAGGGTTTCACCACATCAGCCAGGCTGGTCTTGAACTCTTGACCTAGTGATCTGCCTGCCTCAGCCTCTCAAAGTGCTGAGATAACAGGTGTGAGCCACTACGCCCTGCCTCTTTGATGAAATTTTTAAAAATACAAATCGAGATTGTTTTGTTTTGTTCTTTCCCCTTTTGAATTTCCCCTAAAGTACTGTGCACACATCCACGCGCAGTTATTTGTGCAGTACTTCTTCAGCGTTCATTTAGTTGTACTTCATGCTGATTGAATTACTGGTGTTATCCTTCGGTGGGTAAGGCTGGATGAATTCTAATCAGCTTACTTGTTTTGTCTTCATGTAGCAAAAAGTTTTTAAAATGTATAAATAAATTTGCTCTTATTGTTTATGAAGTATCTATGGCTTAAAAAATTCCTTTCTTCCCCCTTTTATGAGCAGCCCAGTGGGGGATAACATCATGTTGTTACTTCCTCTTAGCTTTTCAGTAAGGAATGCTTCCTTTCCTCTGGTGGTTTTTTTTTTTTTTTTTTTTTTCTCTGAGATGGAGTATCACTCTATCACCCAGGCTGAGTACAGTAGTGCAGTCTTGACTCACTGCCACCTCCATCTCCTGGACTCAAGCAGTTCTTCTTCCTCAGCCTTCCCAGGGTAGCTGGGATTCCAGACGTGTGCCACCAGGCCTGGCTAATTTTTTGTATTTTTAGTAGAGACAGGGTTTTACCATGGTGGCCAGTCTGATCTCCTGACCTCAAGTGATCTGCCCACCTCAGCCTCTCAAAGTGCTGGGATTACAGGCATGAGCCACCGTGCCTAGCCTTTTCTTCTGGTTTATAGTTGTGATTCAGCAATCCAATCTTTTAACCACAACCTTGGTGGTGGTATAAAAACCAATTTTTATCCATTGTTTTTATGGAAGCTTTATTATCTCTCATGGAGAAATGCCCCTTCAGTTTATCACTGAAATATTTTTTTCCTTAGCTTTAATGGAATGTCACTTTTGAGGTTTTTCTTGCTTATCATGCCTCAGAGCACTTAATACAAAAGAATAATATATTTAAGATTACCAGTATTGAAGTATGCTAAAATGGTTCTGAATATTTAGAATGTTATTTTTACAAACTTTTTGCTTATTTTGTTATAAGTATTTTGCTTATTAATTTGTATAGCAAACATAATCCACCCTTTTTTGTGGAGACAGAATCTTGCTCTGTCACCCAGGCTGGAGTGCTGTGGTATGATCTTGGCTCACTGCAGCCTTTACCTCCTGGACTCAGGAGGTGATCCTTCCACCTCAGCCTCTAGAGTAGCTGGGACCACAGGCATGTGCCACCATGCCCAGCTAATTTTTCTATTTTTTGTAGAGACAGAGTTTCACCATGTTAGACAGGCTGTTTCAAACTCTGGGCTCAAGCCATCTGTCTGCCTTGGCCTCCCAAAGTGCTGGGACTATGGGTGAGAGCCACTACGCCTAGTCAAAATTTTTTTTTTAACACAGAAAAAAAAGTTTAGGAGTCTGGTTTATTTGCTGTATCTGCTTTTCTTCTCTTTTTTTTTTTCTTTCTTTTTTTTTTGAGATGGAATTTCATACTTGTTGCCCAGGCTGGAGTGCAATGGCACGATCTCTGTTCACTGCAACTTCTGCCTCCCTGGTTCAAACAGTTCTCCTGCCTCAGCCTCCTGAGTAGCTGGGATTACAGATGCCCACCACCACACCCCATTAACTTTAAAAATATTTTTATTAGAGATGGGGTTTCACAATGTTGGCCAGGCTGGATTTGAACTCCTGACCTCATGTGATCCACCTGCCTTGGCCTCCGAGAATGCTAGGATTACAATCGTGAGCCACTTTTTTGTCACCCAGGCCGAAGTGCAGTGGCACAATCTTGGCTTACTGCAACCTCTGCCTTCTGGGTTCAAGCAATTCTCCTGCCTCAGCCTCTCAAGTAGCTGGCATTACAGGCACCCGCCACCATGACTGGCCAAGTTTATGTATTTAGTAGAGATGGTTTAACCATGTTGGTCAGGCTAGTCTCTGACTCCTGACCTCAAGTGATCCACCTGCCTCAGCCTCCCAAAACGCTGGGATTATAGTCATGAGCCACTGTGCCTGGCCCTGTATCTGCTTTTCAAACCAGAATAAAATTAACAAGATTAAAGACAAGCCTGATGATGCAATCAGAGTGATGCTGTTATCATTTAGCTAGGTTGCTAAATGGTAAGGGTGATTTTTGATTTTCCATGGAAAGTTGATTGCTGTATGCTATTTTTACATGCACACACACAATCACTTTCATTGAGTGAAGTTAGTATGTGACATACCACTGTTGTGCGGTTCACATACACAATTCACTCATGAGCATGTGGAATTATTGTACTGTTGTGGAATGATGTAAAAAGCTCAGTCAGTGTTCCTTTTTCTCTTTCCCTGTTTCTTCCACTCTCTGCCATGTGTGTATATTAGCCATATACAGATATTACTTATTTTCATTTTTAGTTAGAGGGATGTGTCTCCAGTATCCCTCCACCCTTAATAAATCCTATATTAGTCTTGTAATTGAAATAAAAGTCAAGAAAAAGTTCTTAATGGACTTCTTCCCTTTATATTGCTTATTAGTATTAAAATGGTAACACATCATCAAAAGCTTTAAATTTAATAGTGTTACTAAATCACCTTGTTCAACAGCATAACCAAATGTTCCTTTAATATTGACCTTTTAATATAAGCTGCTCAGTGATATACCATTATGCTTCAAGGAGTTTTGAGATGAGTTACCTATTATCCTAGACCCATCAGTTATCCTATTTGTTTATCATATTCTTTATTAGGTAGTTAAGCTATATATTTGTTTTCTTACAAATGTGTTAGACTTAAACTGAGCAGCACATCATTACATAACAATTAATATCGAGGTGCTGTCCGAATGATCGGGATAGGAGCGGTCCCCACGCTTGCTGCTATACAACCATGTTTGAAATTAAGAAGATCTGTTGCATTGGTGCAGGCTATGTTGGAGGACCCACATGTAGTGTCATTGCTCATATGTGTCCTGAAATCAGGGTAATGGTTGTTGATGTCAATGAATCAAGAATCCATGCATGGAATTCTCCTACACTTCCTATTTATGAGCCAGGACTAAAAGAAGTAGTAGAATCCTGTCGAGGAAAAAATCTATTTTTTTCTACCAATATTGATGATGCCATCAAAGAAGCTGATCTTGTATTTATTTCTGTGAATACTCCAACAAAAACCTATGGAATGGGTAAAGGCCGGGCAGCAGATCTGAAGTATATTGAAGCTTGTGCTAGACGCATTGTGCAAAACTCAAATGGGTACAAAATTGTCACTGAGAAAAGCACGGTTCCAGTGCAGGCAGCAGAAAGTATTCGTCGCATATTTGATGCAAACACAAAACCCAACTTGAATTTACAGGTGCTGTCCAACCCTGAGTTTCTGGCAGAGGGAACGGCCATCAGGGACCTAAAGAACCCAGAAAGAGTACTAATTGGAGGGGATGAAACTCCAGAGGGCCAGAGAGCTGTGCAGGCCCTTTGTGCTGTATATGAGCACTGGGTTCCCAGAGAAAAGATCCTCACCACTAATACTTGGTCTTCAGAGCTTTCCAAACTGGCAGCAAATGCTTTTCTCGCCCAGAGAATAAGCAGCATCAACTCCATAAGTGCTCTGTGTGAAGCCACAGGAGCTGATGTAGAAGAGGTAGCAACAGCCATTGGAATGGACCAGAGAATTGGAAACAAGTTTCTAAAAGCCAGTGTTGGGTTTGGTGGGAGCTGCTTCCAAAAGGATGTTCTGAATTTGGTTTATCTCTGTGAGGCTCTCAATTTGCCAGAAGTTGCTCGTTATTGGTAGCAGGTCATAGACATGAATGACTACCAGAGGAGGAGGTTTGCTTCCCGGATCATAGATAGTCTGTTTAATACAGTAACTGGTAAGAAGATAGCTATTTTGGGGTTTGCATTCAAAAAGGACACTGGTGATACAAGAGAATCTTCAAGTATATATATTAGCAAATATTTGATGGATGAAGGTGCACACCTCCATATATACAATCCAAAAGTACCTAGGGAACAAATAGTTGTGGATCTTTCTCATCCAGGTGTTTCAGAGGATGACCAAGTGTCCCGGCTTGTGACTATTTCCAAGGATCCATATGAAGCATGTGATGGTGCCCATGCTGTTGTTATTTGCACTGAGTGGGACATGTTTAAGGAATTGGATTATGAACGTATTCATAAAAAAATGCTGAAGCCAGCCTTTATCTTTGATGGACGGCGTGCCCTGGATGGGCTCCACAATGAACTACAGACCATTGGCTTCCAGACTGAAACAATTGGCAAAAAGGTGTCTTCCAAGAGAATTCCATATGCTCCTTCTGGTGAAATTCCAAAGTTTAGTCTTCAGGATCCACCTAACAAGAAACCTAAAGTGTAGACATTGCCATTTTTATTTGTGATTTTTTTGGTACTTCAGGATAGCAAATATCTATCTAATATTAAATGGTAAATGAACCAAGTGTTTTTAAGGAAACAAAATTATTTTTTAATCATCAGATTTATACTAGCTATATCGGTATTCGCATATCTGGTAACTGAATCTAGAATTTTTTTATAATACTGTTAGCTCAGTTATTGGATGAGTGAAAGATAATCATGTTGGTTTCAATAGTGTCAATTTTTGTAATAAAAATTAAACTTCAAACACTTTACTTATAAATTGTCCATAGGCAGCACTTCAATATCACATTATAAGGGAAGGACAGTCTTCATTTTTTCTGGTTATTGGTTTGCTTGTCATTAAATATGTACTTTGAATCCATGAAAATGCTAAGCTAAATAGCCTTTACATGTATGGTCTGGTTAAAGTTCCTTTGATCCTTTTGTTTTAATGAAATGTGTCACTGATTTTTTAGCTCAAAAGATACATCGCTGTTAATTACAATCACCCCAAATATGGTTAAAAGGTGGGATTTTTGTTTTGTTTTTTTGAGGTGGAGTCTTCGCTCTGTTGCCCAGGCTGCAGTGCAATGGCACCATCTCGGCTCAATACACCCTCTACCTCCTGGGTTCAAGGAATTCTCCTGCCTCAGTCTCCTGAGTGACTGGGACTGCAGGCACCCGCCACCATGCCCTGCCAATTTTTGTATTTTTAGTAGAGACAGGGTTTCATATTGGCCAGGCTGATCTCAAACTCCTGACCTATGATCCACATGCCTCAGCCTCCCAAAGTGCTGGGATTGCAGGCATGACCCACCATGCCTTGCCAAAAGGTGTTTTTTTTTTAATCATGAAGAGAAAATTAGTAGTATTCTTTCTCTCCCCATTATTTCTTGGTTTTCCTCACTAATCTTTTTTTTAGTCTAAGAGCCAAAAAGATAAATATTTTTTAGATGTCCTCTTGCTTTGTCGCCCACGCTGGAGTGCAGCAGCACGATCTCAGCTCACTGCAACATCCAACTCCCTGGTTCAAGCAATTATCCTGCCTCTACCTTCTGAACAGCTGGGATTACAGGCTCCCACCACCATGCCTGGCTAATTTTTGTATTTTTAATAGAGACGGGGTTTTACTATGTTGGTCAGGCTGGTCTCAAACTCCTGACCTCATGATCTGCCCACCTCAGCCTCCCCAAAGTCCTGGGGTTACAGGCATGAGCCACCGCACTTGGCTGGGCCAAAAATATTTATCTTGGTTCTGCATTTTATTTTCTATTCTTAATTGTAATTTTTCCTTTTTTCTTTAAATAAGGAAACCAATATAATCTCATGTATAAACTTAAATATTTTACAAGTTACATATGACATTATTCTAAAATAAGAATTTTTCTTGTTTTCTATCTGCTGTTTTCTTATGTCTCTTGTTGAGTTTTATATTTTCAGTGGTTATTTTTACTTGTGTTTGATCATTATTAAAGTTTATCAGATGTCAAAAAAAAAACAATTATTATCGATAGTATTTAATACTTACAAAGCACATACTCTTTCAGGTATTCCTTACAGTGTTTTAATTTAGAACTTTGAGCCACCCTAGTATTTTGTTAGCTATGGAACTAGGTAACTAGATTATTAACTGTAGTCAATGCTTTTGGTTTATTTTTGTTTCTTTGTTTGTTTGTTTTGTTAGAGATGCGGTTTCACCATGTTGGCCAGGCTAGTCTTGAACTCCTGACCTCAGGTGATCTGCCTGCCTCGGCCTCCCAAAGTGCTGGGATTACAGGCGTGAGCCACCACACCCAGCCATCAATGCTTTTTCTTTTTTTAAATTTCTTTTTGTTTTTTAAATTTTATTGATTTTATTTTTTGTTAGAGACAGGGTCTTGCTTTGTTGCCCAGTCTGGTCCTGAACAACTGGCTTCAAGTGATCTTCCTGCCTAGGACTACAGGTGTGCTGCAGTTACTGGTGTGAGCCACTGCGTCTAGCCTAGTCAGTGCTTTCTAAAAAGAAGTAAAATTGAGCTTTAAGGCACTTTTTCTTACCAAAAGGCTGTTACCAAAGCCTGGGCTCTGAGTATGCATGCGATACCAAAGGTAGTTCAAATCAGGGATTCATAGCTAGCAGACACACATGTTATGTAGCTGGTCTTTGAAAAGAATAGAAGGAATAGAGAGGTAGGTTTTAATCACTTAAAACTGTGTCCACTCTTTGTGTTGTGCCTCAGGAAAGCAGTGTGAGTCATTGCATGAGTGCATAAATTGTTTCAGATTGCTAATGCATCATCATATTATGCAAACCTGGCATATAAGAGTGATGGGTTTGTATACACAATACAGATGAGGTTTTTCTGCCTTAGTAAAGATAATATATAAAAAGCTAACCATTAGGTCACACTAATGCTTAATGCTAATTGTGTTACTGCAGCTAGTAATGGGAGATAGCTGCTTTTTAAATGTAGATTGATGGACTGTCTTGAAATACTGTTTTTCCACTCATATTTATGTTGTACCAAAAATAAGATTAGTTTTATAAACAAAGTTTCTCCATTTATGAAAGAAAATCTCTGTTTATGAAAGAAAGAAATGGTTTATGACCACACCATTTATTTGAACTTCAAAACATAATTTAACATCACTTTTGTAGGCGATAGAGAGAATGAGGTGTTACCTTTCTGTCTTGTCAATCTTTGTAGTTCTGCATTTTCTAGTGAAAGTGAGGGTTTTGTTCTTTTCCTTGATTTGATTTTGTAGGTTTACTGTCATCTGTTCTCAATTCTGAAATTCAGTGTTAAAACTGAAAATCCCCCTGATAAGTTAAGTAAATTGATAGAGCAGCACAATAACCTGACTTGATGTGAGAGACTTTACATCTTTGTCCTGCTTAGTGTGACATTTTGCTGCAGAAACCGTGTATGTTATTACATGGTACTTTTTTAGATCCCACTGTGTCTTGGAATATGTGGTATATGTATTCTAAACAGAATTGAGAACTTTTGAGTGGTAGCATACATCTGGCTGCAGTGGTTTGCTTTAAATGACTGCATTATCTGTCATAAACTGCTGGATTCCCATTGTTGGAAGATTGGAAGATTGTGAGGCATGAATCAGTAGTTTGAAGAATAAAGTTTTGCCAAAGAACATGTTGAACTATTATCATTAATTTTTCTTTTTTTTTTTTTTTAAGTTTTTGAGATGGGGTCTTGCTTTGTCACCCAGGTTAGTCTCAAACTCCTGGACTCAAGTGATCTTTTTGCCTCACTCTCCCAAAGTGCTGGGATTACAGGCATGAGCCATCATGCCCAAACCATGTTGAAGTAAATGTGTTGATTACTTAGTCAGTACAAGCCTAGCAAGAGGTTTACTTACCTTTTTTTTTTTTTGAAACGGAATCTCACTGTCTCCCAGGCTGGAGTGCAGTGGAGCAATGTCAGCTTACTGCAACCTCTGCCTCCCAGGTTCAGGTGATTCTTCTGCCTCAGCCTCTCTAGTGGCTGGGATTACACGCATGCACCGCCATGCTTGGCTAATTTTTTGTTGTTTTTAGTAGAGATGGAGTTTCACCATGTTGGCCAGGCTGGTCTCAAACTCCTGACCTCAAGTGATCCACTCGCCTTGGCTTCTCAAAGTACTGGATTACAGACATGAGCCACCATGCCCTGCCTACGTTTACTTTCAAGAGCCATCTTTTCTTGGTTAGTCATAGTTGCTCAGAGCACTAATTGCTGATATTGTGACCTAGTCCTACAGTGATTATATTTGTTAATGGCATGGGAATGGGAATTATGGTGGGACTATACCCAGATAGCATCTGTCCTGCTGTTTCTAGGATACACATTTATGCATGTAAATTATTCTTTATGATTTTTAGTTTATTGAGTCTTTTATAAGGATGGAAGCAGTTGATCTTTCTCTCATTTCTCTAGACACCCACAAAAGCTGTATATAATGCCAGACATTGGAATCATACCGGTTCAGAAGAACTGCCTGGGCCACCAGTAGTAAAACCTCAGAGTGTCACAGTAAGTGAACTGTACTTACTTATTTTGTGTTTTTTAATAAGCTATACATTAAGCAGTTACCCTTTCAATTCACAATTTGTAAATCTTTGACTTCCCTATTTAACAGTTTGTTTTGACTTTCTTTACTAAAACAGTAGTTTCAGTTTAATTCACTGGAAAACTGAGGGTTGTCGGTAAGATAGCAGAGATTCTAGTGCTGCTAGGTTAAGAATGAAAGCCATAAAAAATAAGACTCTTGTTACTCATGACCCACATTCATGGAATTTATAGTATTTAGTGTTTAAGAGCAAGATTGTCCATATTTGATGTTTTTATAAGAGGTATATTGTATATTGCATCTATATGTATTTCTAAGTGGCTTTCCACGCTTAATTTGCTTTTCAGAGGCAAATTTCTTCCTCTATTCCAGTAATACTTTTCTTTTTTTTTTTTTGAGACGGAGTTTCACTCTTGTTACCCAGGCTGGAGTGCAATGGCGCAATCTCGGCTCACCGCAACCTCCGCCTCCTGGGTTCAGGCAATTCCCCTGCCTCAGCCTCCTGAGTAGCTGGGATTACAGGCACGTGCCACCATGCCCAGCTAATTTTTTGTATTTTTAGTAGGGACGGGGTTTCACCATGTTGACCAGGATGATCTCAATCTCTTGACCTCTTGATCCACCCGCCTCGGCCTCTCAAAGTGCTGGTCCAGTAATACTTTTCAATCCAAAACATTAGGAAAAAGATTCTTAGCAACTTATTTTCTCCAGAATGACTGATAGTATCATACATGATTTCTAGGTTAACAGTAAAGCTTCAGTCATCTGGGGTTATCAGGTAAAGTAGTTCTTTACAACAACAAATAATTTGGGGATAGAAGTTTTTCTAATATATAATGTACAGTTTCCTGTCTTCATAAACTGTTTAGACTCCTCTTGATAGTATAAAGAAATCATTTTGTATATTGGTAGTAATATATCATGTTCCCGTTACAGCTGTTTATTTCTGCCCTAAACTATTTCACACTCTTTTGATGTTAAAATTCTTTTGACTCTAGTTTTTCTGTCCTGTCCCTTTCTGCTTATGAAAGCTATTTTTGCATGCAGTTGTGGTTCTGTAGTCTTTCTCATGGTACTAGAGACAAATTGTGTGAAATAAAAAGTTTAAAAAAGACCAGAAAGAATTTTTGAGTGGTTCTTCTGTATGTAGACATACATATGTCTTACCTGTTAGTGCATGGAATTCAAAATATTTCTAAAGACCTCTGAGAGGCCTCCCCATCCCCCCCTTTTTAAAAAAGCTTTATTTACTTTTTCTGAAGCCGAATTTGCCAGATAGATGAGATGTTCCTATTTTTGTATATTTATTTAGAACAACTAATTTAATACCTTTATTAATAGGTGAGGCTGTCTTCAAAGGAACCAAATCAAAAAGATGATGGAGTTTTTAAGGCTCCTGTGCCACCATCCAAAGTGATAAAAACTGTGACAATACCTACTCAGCCCTACCAAGATATAGTTACTGCACTGAAATGCAGACGAGAAGACAAAGAAGCAGCCATATACAGTGTTTACTGCATGTTGATAGATTTTTGTATGTAACATTCAGCCTTTTAATATCGTCAACAAATATCAGTATACTGATACTCAGTTTTGAACCACAAACTTCTTTTGTCCTACCATCATCATTCTTCTAAAAATATTTTTGTCGCCATCTAACAAACTCTTTTATGCACTTATGTAAAGTACAGTGAGCCCACAGATTTAAATAGTTCATAGTTAAAAAGGGGTGACATTTTTTTTTCTTGGCAGTTATATACTGTTGTTCAGCATGTGAAGCACTTCAATGATGTCGTAGAATTTGGTGAAAATCAAGAGTTCACTGATGACATTGAGTACTTGTTAAGTGGCTTAAAGAGCACTCAGCCTCTAAACACGTGTTGCCTTAGGTAAGATTTTTATATTTTACAATTATGTACATGCTGTATTAAATTTTTTCAACTATGTATTATCCAAAAAGCCAGACATTTTTTATTTTGTTATGATGTGTATAGTATATACAGCTAGTGATATGTTAAAATGCCTGCCCTCCCTCCCTCCCTCCCTCCCTCCCTCCCTTCCTTCCTTCCTTCCTTCCTCTCTCTCTTCTTTTCTTTTCCTTTTCTCTCCTGTCCTCTCTTTTCTCATTTCTCACACTGTCACCCCAGCTGGAGTGCAGTGGTATGGTCTCCACTTGCAGCGACCTCCACCTCCTGGGTTCAGGTGATTCTCTTGCCTCAGTCTTCTGAGTAGCCGGTTAGCTGGGATTACAGGTATGAGCCACTATGCCCAGCTACTTTTTTGTAGTTTTAGTAGAGATGAGGTTTCACTGTGTTGGTCAGGCAGGTCTTGAACTCCTGACCTTGTGATCCACCTGCTCAGCCTCCCAAAGTACTGGGATTACAGGCATGAGTTACCTCGTCTGGCCAGAACTATCCATTTCTTTATAAAGAATTTGGTTCTACATGATAGATGGAAAGCTGGGTGATCACAGCATTTTTAGCATAGCATAGGCTTCAGTTTTTAAGTGGTTAAAAAAACAAGAACAACATGCTAAAGCCTTTTTGCCCTGTATGGTGGCTCATACCTGTAATCCCAGCATTTTGGGAGGCCAAATTGGGAGGATTGCATGTGTCCAAGAGTTCGAGACCACCTTGGGCCACATAATGTGACCCTGTGTCTATAAAAAATAAAAAGTGAGTCATGGTGGCATGTGCCTGCAGTTTCAGCTCCTTGGGCCGCTGAGGTGGCAGGATGGCTTGACCTGGATGATAGAGTGAGGTGAGGCTCTGTCTCCAGAAAAAGGAAGAAAAAAATACCAGAAAGAAAATAAATAATTTTTAAAAAAGAATCTTTTAAGTTATTTTACCTTTGATGTTCAAGTAATAAATTAGATTTATTTAAGCAAGTTGTGGTCTGAGTGCTTACATTTACACCAAATGCTCAAAATAAAAAGATGGTCTTTTGTACTCCCTAATGAATTGATTGAATACTGTAGTTTTGATTGAATTTTTGAGTCATTTGGAGTATATTCAATCAAATATAATTAATTCTAATTTTTATTAGAAGTATTATGAAAGGTAGCTCAGAGTTTAAGCTTTTAATGATAGTAGTAATGTAAAGAATGCACTAAAGACAATTACGTTATTTTAAAAAAATACAGTGTACCTAATCACATACTAGGCACCAGTATATTTTATTAATGTGTTTTGCCTCTGGTTTTTATATTGCGATGATGTATGGGCAATGCTTTGACCCTTTTACCTCCTTCCTATTTGCTGGTTATGGTATTACACAAACTAAACTAATGTACTAGCTGTTTCCAGTTTCCTTAACCTACTGTATTTTCTTCTAGTGTTATTAGCTTGGCTACTAAATGTGCCATGCCCAGTTTTCGAATGCACCTGAGAGCACATGGGATGGTAGCAATGGTCTTTAAAACCTTGGATGATTCCCAGCACCATCAGGTATTTTTAACTTTCTGAGATTGAGAAAATGGCTAGTCTGTTTGGCTATCAAAAAATGTCTTCACTGGATATTCTATAAATAAATCCTAATTATAGATTGAGTTCATTTTATTTGCTAAATTTGTAGTGCTTATGATCAGAAGTTTTTGCTTAACTTATTTTCTCATGAAAACATTTTTTCTTAATTTGTCATTTTATACTATTAAAATTTTATTTTGTTATCTTGGCTAATGTGGCATACTGATACTGAATTTTATAAGCATGATTTTCCCAATAATCAGAAAGCGCTGAGAAGAATCTGTTAGTATTATTTGATACTAATGCATGGGGAAAAAACTGGTTTGGAAATGCAGCTTTAATTTTCTTAGAAACTTTTCTGTTCATTGACTCTAACATAGCCTCATTGTGATAAGGAATAAATTCTTCATTTTCCTTGCCTTTGATGTTTTTGCTTAATAATAAAGTAAACATAACAAAAATAATTAGGTTTATATTTTCCAAAATTAGAAGAAAGTAACCATCATTGCTAATTATTATGATTAGTAGTATTTTGAGATGGCCTTGCAATATTTTTGTTAAAGAAACTATGTTCTAAAAACGGATTAGGTGATACAGAATTAATTTAATACTGCATCTTCTGGGCCAGGCATCTTGGCTCATGCCTGTAATCCCAGCACTTTGGGAGGCCAAAGTGGGCGGATCACCTCAGGTCAAGAGTTTGAGATGAGCCTGGCCAACATGGTGACACGTGCCTGCAGTCCCAGCTACTCAAGAGGCAGAAGCAGGAGAATCACTTGAACCTGGGAGTCAGAGGTTGCAGTGATCCAAGATCTTGCCATGGCACTCCAGCCTGGGAGACAGAGATTCTGTCTCAAAAAAAAAAAAAAAAAAAAAAAAAAAAGTAGTTTGTTGCTGGACAAGGGATGTCCCCACTTGTAAGTCCCAGCTGATCTGGAGACGAAGGTGGGAGGATTTCTTGAGCCCAGGAGTTTCAGATCCATTCTGGGAAACCTAGTGAGAGCTCATCTCTTAAAAACAAACAAAAAAGAGACTTTTTTTGCTTTATTATGCAGTTAACAGGGGACTAAGGCATTACAGTGTGTGATCTTAAGGGCAGTGGGTCCCCCATGGCCTTTACTATGGCATCCTATTTTCCAAAAATAATTTGCTGCATAAACATTTAATCAGACATCTGGTCTGACACTTCTATACTTTAGGGTCTCAAAGTTTAAATCTTTAGATAGTTGTATTTTCTGTATGTTGAAATAAGTGTAAGAACAGAATATCTCAAGTGTTGGAATATCCCAAATATAAGACCTTTTATTATATTCACATTTATCTAAAATACTTCACCTTCAGTATTTTTAGATTATATAAGTAGAGTGTGCTGGCCAAGTGTGGCGGCTCATGCCTGTAATCCTAACACTTTGGGAGGTCAAGGTGGGCAGATTGCCTGAGCTCAGGAGTTCAAGACCAGCCTGGGCAACATGGCGAAACCCCATCTCTACTAAAAATACAAAAAGCTAGCCAGGCATGGTGGTGCATGCCTGTAACGTTAGCTACTCAGGAGGCTGAGGCACAAGAATAGTTGGAACCCCGGAGGCAGAGGTTACAGTGAGCCGAGATTGTGCCTCTGCACTGCAGCCTCAGTGACAGAGTGAGACTCCTTTAGAAAAAAAATTAAAATAAAATATAGAATGTGCTAACTTAACTACCTGACTTGAGTGATTTTGGTACATTTTATTAATGATTTAAAAAATTATTTGGTTCACTCAGACTTGATTGGTTTATTTTATTATTTCAAGCAATCCTCACAACTCAGCCTCCCAAGTAACTGGGACTACAGGCACCCGCCACCACACCTGGCTAATTTTTACATTTTATTTTATTTATTTTATTATACTTTAAGTTCTGGGGTACATGTGCAGATCTTGCAGGATTGTTACATAGGTATACACATGCCATGGTGGTTTGCTGCCTCCATCTCCCCATCACCTTCATTAGGTATTTCTCCTAAAATTATCCTTCCCCGATGTTTTATTTTATTTTATTTATTTATTTTTGAGACAGAATCTCGCTCTGTCACCCAGGCTGTAGTGCAGTGGTGCAGTCTTGACTCACTGCAACCTCTGCCTCATGGGTTCAAGCAATTCTCCTGCCTCAGCCTCCAGAGTGGCTGGGATTGCAGACGTGCGTCACCATGCCCAGCTAATTTTTTTTTGTATTTTTAGTAGAGATGAGGTTTCATTATGTTGGCCAGGCAGATCTTGAACTCCCGACCTCAAGTGGTCTACCCGCCTTGGCCTTCCAAAGTGCTGGGATTACAGGCATGAGCCACCAGATCTGGCGATTGGTTTACTTTAAAGAAATGCAAATATGTGTCATTCAGCATTCTGGGTTTACATACAGATATAAACACAGCTGTGTTTTGCAGGGGAAAAAAGTTAAGGGTTTGATACAGATTTAAAATTATTATTTCAGTTATTGAGTTTTTTTTGTTTGTTTGTTTGTTTTTTTGAGACGGAGTTTCGCTCTTGTTACCCAGGCTGTAGTGCAATGGCGCGATCTCTGCTCACCGCAACCTCTGCCTCCTGGGTACAGGCAATTCTCCTGCCTCAGCATCCTGAGTAGCTGGGATTACAGGCACGCCCCACCATGCCCAGCTAATTTTTTGCATTTTTTTAGTAGAGACGGGGTTTCACCATGTTGACCAGGATGGCCTCGATCTTGGGATCCACCCGCATTGGCCTCCCAAAGTGCTGGGATTACTGGCGTGAGCCACCATGCCCGGTTGAGTTTTTTTTTTTTGAGACAGAGTCTCGCTCTGTCGCCAGGTGCCAGGCTGGAGTGCAGTGGCGCCATCGCGGTTCACTGCAACCTCTGCCTCCTGGGTTCAAGCAATTCTCCTGCCTCAGCCTCCTGAGTAGCTGGAACTATAGGCGTGTGCCACCACGCCCAGCTAAGTTTTTTATTTTTAGTAGAGACGGGGTTTCACCATGTTGGCCAGGATGGTCGCCATCTCTTGACCTCATAATCTATCCACCTCACCCTCCCAGAGTGCTGGGATTACAGGTGTGAGCCACCACACCTGGCCTTCAGTTACTGATTTTAAACTGAAATATGACTGTCTACTATATCATAAAGAATAGGCTGGGCATGGTGGCTCATGCCTATAATCTTAGCAATTTGGGAGGCCAAGGTGGGTGACTTACTTGACTTCAGGTGTTTAGGACCAGCCTGGGCACCCTATCTACAAAAATACAAAAAAGTCAGCTGGGCATGGTGGCACATGCCAGTTGTCTCAGCTATTTGTGAGGCTGAGGCAGGGAAGACTGCTTGAGTCCAGAAGGTCAAGGTGACAGTGAGCTGAGATCATGCCACTGCACTTCAGCCTGGGTGACAAAGTGAAATCCTGTCTCAGAAAAAAGTGAGGTATATCATAATAGAATTTATACCTGTACACACACACAGGTCTGTAAAAATGTTCTATAAACTCTTCATTTAGCACAGAATAGCCAAAGAAATATGTAACTCAGCTTATATTCTTACAGCTTTCAGGCATTCACGTATGGAAGGTCCATTGAAAGGATAATTTTAAGCAACAGCATTTCATTTTTTAAGCATGTTTCTTCAGAATATTTTTAGAGGGACCACTGAATAAAACATTTTTCAAGTTTCCAACATGGTCAGTAATACAAGTTTCAGGCATTTTAACTTGTAAGCAAAAGTCACTAACAGTCTTATTTCCTGAGATTGTCAGGAGTTGCTCACATGAACTTTTTCTTTTCCTTTTTTTGGTCTGTTGAAGAATCTGTCCCTCTGTACAGCTGCCCTCATGTATATACTGAGTAGAGATCGTTTGAACATGGATCTTGATAGAGCTAGCTTAGATCTCATGATTCGACTTTTGGAACTGGAACAAGATGCTTCGTCAGCCAAGCTACTGAATGAAAAAGACATGAACAAAATTAAAGAAAAAATCCGAAGGCTCTGTGAAACTGTACACAACAAGCATTTTGATCTAGAAAATATAACGGTAGGTTCCTTCTTCCTTCCAAGGTGAGAATTACTTTCAGAAAGTCTTTGGTTAGTTGCAATAACTGGGTGACTGTGGGCAAATTATTTAACTTCTAACCTTGGTTTACAGTTTGGCAAATTAACAGGTTTAGCTCTGAGTATAATTTCATTCCTTGCCTGAACTTCCTAGTTTATGTACTTTTAGGTTTTTTGCCCAGTAAATTGCTGCACATTTTCTGTTGCATTTTGCGTAATCCTTCTCTCTTTATTATTTATTTTATTTTTTAAGAAATAAAAGGGGCCAGGTGCAGTGGCTCATGCCTACAATATCTGCTTTGAGAGGCCAAGGCAGTTGGATTTCTTGAACCTAGGAGTTTGGTTCTAGCCTGGGCAACATGGCAAAACCCCCATCTCTACAGAAAATACAAAAAAAATTAGCTGGACATGGTGGTGTGCACCTATAGTCCCAGCTACTCAGGAGGCTTAGCTTGGGGGAATCTCCTGAGCCCAGGGAGTTTGAGAGTACAGTAAACCAAGGTTGTACCACTGCACTCCAGCCTGGGTGACGGAGCAAGACCATCTCAAAAAAAAAAAAAAAAGGTAGAACTACATTTAGGCTATTAGGAACTTGAATTCTTATTCTCCATAGATTTCAGGAATATAGAAGATTTACATTTGCCTTTTTCTTTTTTAATTTATAATAATAATTATTTTTTGAGACAGGGTCTTGCTATGTCACCCAGGCTGGAGTGCAGTGGTACAGTCATGGCTCACTGCAGCTTCAAGCCCCTGGCCTCAAGTGATCCTCCCACCTCAGCCCCCCAAGTAGCTAGGACTACAAGTTTATGCCACCATATCTGGCTAACTTTTGTATTTTTGGTAGAGATGGGGTTTTCACCATGTTGCCCAGGCTGGTTTTGAACTCCTGGGCTCAAGCGAGGTCACCTCAGCCTCCAAAGTGTTGGAATTACAGGCGTGAGCCACCACTCTTGACACAACTGCCATTTTCAATGAATAGGCATCTATTTATTCCAAGTACCTCAGGGTGTCTGTTTCACGGGACCTGAAGAACCCTGAAGACACCTCAAAGAAGACTCTTAGGCACCTCACCTCCCCTGAGGTGGTGTTTTTTATAATACGGTCATGGCCAGTAGCTGCTCTTATGCTCATCACAATGCACCATGTGTGAGATGGCTATGCCATTTTTGCTTTATTTCAGTTCTGCTTTCTTCTGGCTTTTTTACTTATAGAATCAATAATGTTCCAGTGGTTTCTAGGCCAGTAGAAGATAATTGGCTTGTGATTTTTGAAAAAAATAAGAGTGTTTATTACATAATAACCTGGTTTTTAGACATTTCCAACATCAAAACTATAATAAACATTTATTATTGTCTATGCAAACATACCCCCAAAGTCCAGGGAAGCTGAGAAACTGAAGAGTGACAAATCCAGTTTTTCAGAAACATTTAGTAGGGACTTATAATCAAAAGCCGTGTCTGTGTCTTGGGATCCCCATGCTATTACCCCCACATCCAGGGTTTATATGCCATAGGGAAAGTATAATTCAGAATAGATGTGTAGGGCCACTGAAGTACATCAAGTTGTTTGACCTCAGGTTAGGATATATAGTAAGTACCTGATTTTACACAGGGAACAATGAGTAAACCAGAAATTTTAGAGGCTTTCCCAGAACAGATGTTAATCAGATCTCAGGCCAGGTGATGTGGCTCACAGCTGTAATCCCAGTGCTTTGGGAGGCTGAGGTGTGTGGATCACCTGAGACCAGGAGTTGTGCCAACATGGTGAAACCCCATCTCTATTAAAAATATAAAAATTATAGCTGGACCTGGTGGCAGGTGTGTGTATTCCCAGCTACTTGGGGAGGTGAAGGCACAAGAATTGCTTGAACCTGGAACCTACGAGGCAAGGTAGAGGTTACAGTGGGCTGGGATTGGTGTGACTGCACTCCATCCTGGGTGACAGAGTAAGACTATGTCTCAAAAAAAAAAAAAAAGGCAGTGTCTCCCCATTACTTAACTGAAGACTGCAGCAGCATTTGCCACAAAAATATATAGAATGCTTTGTGCTAGCCAGATGTGACTTAAGGCTATTGCTCTATTCTATGTTAATTAGGTTAGAGGTGGTAATAGATTTTGGTTAAGGTGGAGGATGGGAGAGCAGTTTAACTTTAAACAAGAAGATACAAAACTGACATGTATTCAGTACTTTTCACTTTATAAGATTGTGGAGAGAGATGCTGCACTCAGATGGCAAATCTGTATTCCTCCATGTCATCATACCATCTGTAACATCGAAAACTTTTTAACTTTTTTTCGTTTTTGAGATGAAGTCTTACTCTGTCACCCAGGCTGGAGTCCAGTGGTGTGATCTCGGCTCACTGCAGCCTCCGCCTCCTGGGTTCAAGCTATTCTCATGCCTCAGCCTCACAGATAGCTGAGATTACAGGTGCATGCCACCATGCCCAGCTATTTTTTTTTTTTTTTTTAAGTAGAGATGGGGCTTTGCCATGTTGGCCAAGCTGGTCTTGAACTCCTGAACTCAGATGATCTGCCCACCTCGGCCTTCCTGGGATTACAGACATGAGCCACTGAGCCTGGTCAAAACATTTGTAATTTTTATTTATACTATTTTTACAATGTCTACTCATTTTTTCATACTATAAAAGAATAAATTTGAGCCTATAATTTTTAACTGCCTACATAGTTGGGTGGATGTGCCTTTATTTTTTTGTCTCCTATGTTCAACATTTAGATTCATTTCCGGTATGCTGTTAAATGGCAATGATAAACTTGATGATTTAATTTGTCTTATGTTTTGTTGAATTTATTAGGATGATAAATACCAGAATAAAAACTTTACTGTATTAGATAAAACAACTTTTTTATTCATATGATTAAGCCAGAGCACAGATGTCAATTTTAGATTCCACTTTTTCCCCCTAACATTAACTATTCTTGAGTATTGTTTGTTTTAAATTGTACAGTAGATTTACTATGTGTTTTGTACAATGAATATCTTCTACACATTAGTTTTGTTACTAGTTGCTTAATTTCTTGAATATATTGGTATTGCTGATGTGCCATGAAAAGATAATTTAAAACAGTAGTATAGGCATGCTTTGCTCAATGACAGATGTGTTCTGAAAATGAATCATTAGGTGATTTTGTTGTTGTACGAGCATCAGACTGTGCTTACACAAACCTAAAAGTTATGGCCTACTACACATCTAGACTGTACAGGTTTGCACCCTAAAAGCAACAGGCTGTATTACATGTAGTACAGCCTGTTGCTTTTAGGGTGCAAACCTGTACAGCATGTTACTATATTGATCACTGCAGGCAATTGGAACACAGCGGTGGCAAAATTTGTCCACCTAAATACAAAAAAAAGGTACAGTAAAAGTACGGTATAAAAGATTTAAAAAGATAAACCTATATGGACACTTACCTTGAGTAGAGCTTGCAGGACTGGAAGTTGCTCTGTGTCAGTGAGTGATGGTGAGTGAACGTGAAGACCTAGGACATTATTGCACACCACTGTAGACTTGATAAACACTGTGCACTCTGGCTGTACTGTTTAACTCTTGACTCTTTTATAATAACTCTTAGCTTAAAACACTGTATACTGTGCAAAAATATTCTATGAGCTTTTTTCTTCTTTCAAAATCAATTATTTTTTTAACTTATAAAACTTATTTTTTTGTTAAAAATGAAGACACACACATTAACCAAGGTTCACACAGGGCCAGGATTATCAATAGGACTGTCTTCCACCTCCACATCTTGTCCCATTGGAAGGTTTTAGGGACAGTAAAACATGAATGGAGATGTCATCTCCTGTGATAACAATGCCTTGTCCTGGAATGCCTCCTGAAGGACCTGACTCAGGGTGGTTTTTTGTTGTTTTTCCCCCTTGAGACTCTTTGACTCTGTCATCCAGGCTGGAGTACAGTAATGTGATCTGGTCTCATTGCAACATTCGCCTCCCAGGCTTAAGCGATCCTGTGCCTCAGCGTCCCAGAGTGCTGGGATTACAGGTGCAGCCATCTCACAGCCTAATCCTCTTATTTTCTGGTTAATGACTTGGCTGTGCTTTAATTCTGAGGACTATTCAAGTTTTCAAATAACATGCTTGAATAATAGGCAATTTTTAAATGCTAGCATGCAGTATACTTAATATAGCCTAAAACATTAAAGAATCCTTTTTATGCCAATAGAAACAAAAGTGAAACCCTTTTAAGCATAAAAAGGCACGAGTTTTAATTATTAATATCAAATTACCATCACCTTTCTTTCTAAACAAAGAATGCCTCATTAGTCTTCAGCTTTTCCAGTATGACTCGTGAATTAATACACCTAAGACCAATCTAAATCATTCTTTGAGGGACAGAATGAGAAATGGACAGAATTGAATCTGTTTTTGTAGTATTGGGTTCTAGTTCTACATTTGTCACCTTGGAGTACAACCTTTTTTTTCTCTTTTCTTTTCTTCTTTTCTCTTCTCTTTTCGAGACAGAATCTTGCTCTGTTGCCCAGGCCAGAGTGCAGTGCCATGATCTTGGCTCACTGCAACCTCCGCCTCTTGGGTTCAAGCAATTCTCCCTGCCTCAGCCTCCTGAGTAGTGAGTAGCTGGGATCACAGGTGCCCACTACCATGCCCAGCTAATTTTTGTGTTTTTAGTAGAGACAGGTTTCACCATGTTGGCCAGGCTGGTCTTGAACTCCTGATCTGAGGTGATCCACCTACCTCAGCCTCCCAAAGTGCTGGGATTACAGGTGTGAGCTACCAGCCACACTCAGCCAAGAACAACTGTTTTAATAGAAGTAGATTAAAAATCTTCTATATCTCTCCCAAATGTGCAATAGTGGTAATACCTGTTGTTTGAATTTCTAAGTATCTAGTTTATGTACAGTTTTCAAATAGGCCAGAAGGACCTAATGTAAACTATCATCTTTTGAAGGGGAGAAACTGGGAGAAAAACTAGGTCTTGTCAATCTTTGCTAATTAAAGCATTTCTTCTGTTATGCTGAAGTTTCTTTATTACAACAGAAACCAAATTGTTCTTTCTTGGGGAGGTGGCTTTATGCTTTAAATAGAAAAACAACAACTAAAGTGAAATAAAGAGAAAGACAAACTTTACTCTGATTGTAAATGTGGCTGTTAGCTTTTGTACTCTTCTGGTGATGATCCTAAAGCATTATTTGAATAGTTTTGTCATCATGGCCACATGATGAATATCTGAGCTATTAAGCCTGCAGTCTTCAGTTTAAAACTAGTCAGTTTGCAGTACTAAAGTGAGCAAAGGATTTGTATGCAAAATATGCACAATACACCGAACAATAAGGAAAGACAATCAGTCTTGTAGGAAAATATGGAAAGAATAACGAACAGGAATCTCATACTAGAAATATAGTTCATTAATATGTGAAAAACTGGTCAAGTTTACTGTAGTTGTAAAAATACAACCGGGAGGCCGAGGCGGGTGGATTATGGGGTCAAGAGATTGAGACCATCCTGGTCAACATGGTGAAATCCCATCTCTACTAAAAATACAAAAAATTAGCTAGGCATAGTGGCACGTGCCTGTAATCCCAGCTACTCAGGAGGCGGAGGTTGCAGTGAGCTGAGATCATGCCATTGCACTCCAGCCTGGGTAACAAGAGCGAAATTTCGTCTCAAAAAAAAAAAAAAAAAAAATACAACCAAAAGCAGTGTTACCATTTTGTGCCCTCAGACAAAAATGTTAAGTGACTTTTGAACATTCAGGACAACTGGCAATCCCACAGTTTGCTCCTGAGAGTGTTACTTGTTAAATCCTTTGTGGCAAATTAATATTGATTAATAATTAAAAAATACATGTATCCTTTGACTTAGCAGTCTGACACTAGGCCTCTGTACTATAGAAATGAATGCCTCTACGTATGTGTAATAATAAACTGACAAATGATAGACTACTGTAATAGCACATTTTCTCTATGAAAAGCTAGTTTTAGAACTTTGTTAAATGAGGGCTGTTCTGATAAAATTGAAAATTCAATTTTATGTATAAATATAGTGTTAAAAAACTGTACTGATAGCGTGCAGTAAATTTTTGAAAAGAGAAACAATCTTTAGAATTGCTAAAAGTAAATATTCATTAATGATGCTTCTGGTTTTTAGACTGGGCATTTAGCTATGGAGACATTATTGTCCCTTACTTCTAAACGAGCAGGAGACTGGTTTAAGGAAGAACTCCGACTTTTGGGTGGTCTGGATCATATTGTAGATAAAGGTATGATATTCACATGTATAATGTTTTTATATATTATTTAAAGCCTGAAGAAAATACTCTATTGACATACTTCAAAAAGTTATTGTATCAGTTTGGAAACGTCTGTTTTTAAAAGTAGTATCCTGCAGATTTCTAACATTTAAAGAAGAGGCCAGGCCAGGCATGGTGGCTCATGCCTGTAATCCCAGCACTTTGGGAGGCCAAGGCGCAGATCACCTGAGGTCAGGTGCTCAAGATCAGCCTGACCAACACGGAGAAACCCCATCTCCACCAAAAATAAAAAATTAGCTGGACATAGTGGCACATGCCTTTAATCCCAGCTACTTGGGAGTCTGAGGCAAGAGAATCGCTTGAACCTGGGAGGAGGAGGTTGTGGTCAACTGAGATTGCACCATTGTACTCCAACCTGGAAGAACGAGCAAAACTCTGTCTCCAAAGAAAAAAAAAAAAAAAAAAGGCTGTTAACATTTTGATATTGGGAGATTATGGAAACGAAATAATTACAGGGTATGATACATTTCAAAATCTCAAAGTATGAAACCTAGAATAAAAAATGTTCAGAGAGATTCCAGCATGTTCATAGCATGTGTACAGATGGCTTTTAATGTTAGCTAAAAGTATTGTATTGGTAAGTATTGATGATAAGTATTAACTTATGTTTGTTTCTTTTCACGTAGTAAAAGAATGTGTGGATCATTTAAGTAGAGATGAGGATGAAGAGAAACTGGTAGCCTCATTATGGGGAGCAGAGAGATGTTTATGAGTTTTAGAAAGTGTAAGTATGGATGACAATTTGGCAAAAAGTATTCAGTCTTGATTGTGAATGCGTGTGTAAGAGAGAGACTGCCAGATATTTTATATACGCCTGTGGGGTTCACTTCTGTTAATCCAGATAGAAATTTCAGTACCTTTTTTTTAGCAACCAGTTGTGATTAAACAAGTGAAATGAGCAGTTTTTGAAGAGTACCTGTATTACTGCTGCAAATGAAAGGTCAGGCTTGTTTATATACACCAATCTTTTTTCTTTAAGATTTTATTATTTTTTTGAGCCAAAATGTCGGTCTGTCACCCAGGCTAGAGGGCAGTGGTGTGATCTTGACTCACTACAGCCTCCACTTCCTGGGTTCAAGCAATTTTCATGTCTCAGCCTCTAGCTGAGATTACGGGTGTCTGCCACCATGCCTTACTAATTTCTGTATTTTTAGTAGAGTTGGGGTTTTGCCACGTTGGACAGGCTGGTCTCAAAACTCCCAGCTTCAAGTGGACTGCCAGCTTCGGCCTCCCAAAGTGTTGGGATTACAGGCATGAGCTACCTTGCTGAGCCCCTCCAGTCTTTATTGTTTTTTCCTTAATGTTTCTGCTTGACTATATTGTTTGCAGATAACAAAAGCTAAATGTGGTCAGGTTTTATTTTTAAATTATTATTAGCATTTGGTTTATTTGACTTTTGAGTCAGATTTTTTTTTTTTCTTCAAAATTTTTTTCTTTTTTCATGTTGGTGAGGATGGTCTTGAACTCCCAACCTCAGGTGATCTGCCCGTCTTGGCCTCCAAAGTGCTTGGATTACAGGCATGAGCCACCATGCCTGGCCTGCATCAGATTGTTTATAAGCACGGTTTGTCATGATATTTGGCTTTGGAAAATGATACTGTTGAACTGCAGTAAGTGTATTTTGTTCTTTGACTCTTATGAAGGACTTTAACCGAGTTCCATATAGATTAGAATTTATGTTGCCAGCTAACCTCAGAATGCATAGATTTGTTCACCAGGTTATTTTAAAAGCATTCGTGGGGAAAATAGTGTAGTATAAATTAAAAACTTCTGACATAGATTAAATGGTAATTATTCTGTGTGTCTTCTACAGTTCTTTGGGAACAGTAGATAACAGATATTTCCTTGTAAAAATGTATTCTAAATGAATCTACCTAAGAGCTTTATGTTATTTGCTTGCTGTTTGTTATTTGTTAAGTTAAGGACTGCTCTGTTCTGACATTCAATGTGAGGCAGTTCGTTACAGTGAATACATAGTGTAAAATATGAATGAATAATAACAGTGATGTCTTAATTTTTTCACAAAACATTAGCTTTCTTATTTTACATCTGGAACCTGTGGGTTGTGAAATTATTCCCTTAGACAACAAGGACTGTTTTTTCCCTCATCTTTTTATCTTTTAGGGACCAGGCAGAGTGTGATATGTGAATGAAAGTTTTGGATTGCCACAATTATTTTATATTCTTCCCTTTTAGGTAACTGTGCTTAATCCTGAAAATCAAAGCTACTTGATAGCATATAAAGATTCCCAACTTATTGTTTCATCAGCTAAGTAAGTTTTTTGTCTATTAGCTAACAACTAACATTATTTAAACATTTGGATTGACCACAAATGGATTAGCTTCCTTTATGAAATACTCTATTGAGTCCGATGAATTGGTGCACATTGTATAACTAAAGTTTTAAGAGTACAGATTTTGGACACAAAATGACTGTGGATTCCAGCTTGATAATTTCAGCTGTATAACTTTTGTAATGTACAAATCAAGCTCTTTACAAAGGGGATAAATAATTGTATCTATGGGCTGGGCGAGGTGGCTCACGCCTGTAATCCCAGCACTTTGGGAGGCCGAGGCAGGTGGATCACGAGGTCAAGAGATTGAGACCATCCTGGGCAACATGGTGAAACCCTGTCTCTACTAAAAATACAAAAAATTAGCTGGAGATGGTGGCACATGCCTGTAATTCCAGCTACTCAGGAGGCTGAGGCAGGAGAATTGCCTGAACCCAGGAGGTGGAGGTTGTGGTGAGCCGAGATCACGCCATTGCACTCCAGCCTGGGTAACTAGAGTGAAACTCCGTCTCAAAAAAAAAAATTAAAACAAAAAAATAATTGTATCTAACCCACTTAGGATTGTTATTCCAATAAAATGAGTTCATTTATATGTTTGTAAGAAATATATTCTTAATAGATATTTTAAAATATGTGTATATTAAAAATATATATAAAACATTTTTAAGATTTAAATTATTTAAAAAGTATCTTTTGTATATTATGTATGATATGTATTAATGAGTTAAATTAGTTAATATGCAAAGCCTAGAACAGTACTTGGCATATAATAAATACTGAGCATTTGTCCTCATTCTTGTTTTAAATGGACTTTTCTAGCCCTCTTCTTCTGTACTTTATTTAGACTTGTTTTTCCATATCTGTATATAACTTCTATTCCACATTCTTTGTTCCCACACATATTTCATCACAATTAGGCTAATGCTGTCACCTCTGTGCAGGTAAAATTCCCAAGTATGTCTCCAGTCCTGGTTCTATCTTATTACAGCAGCCTCTTCATGATATCTCTGTCCTAGTTCTTAATATCTGCCCTACTTCTCTGGCCTTTAGCCTAGAACAGTAACACATGAAGTTAACTTTCCCAAATCTCTGATTGCTTATTGTCTTTGGATATATGTGCAACTTTCTTATTACAGGAAGTCGGCCTTATCAAAGGCCCATTGCAGTCTTATTCTGATTTATCTGTTTTTAACCTCTTATTTTAGAGGGTTTCAAATATAAATAGTGTAATAAGCTGTTATGTACACATTATCAGTCATGGCCAGTCTGGTTTTCATCTATAACCCCATCCATTCCCCCTCTTGTATTATTTGAAACAAATCCAGATATTATCATTTCATCCATAAATACTTAAGTATACAATGAAAGAAAATGACTTTTAAAAAATATAACCCAATACTATTTTCATACTATTGATTATCTAGTTGCTTACTATTTTATGTTTAGTCAATATTCTAATTTTCAGTAATCTTAAATTTCTAGTCTCAATAGATTTTCTTAATCTATAGGTTTTTTAAATCTCCTTTTTTTGTCTTGCATTTGTACATTTTTTGTCTTCCTCCAGAACATTTGTGGACTTGATTGCATTTCTACATTTTGTATCTTTCAATGGTATATTTTGCTTTTATTTATTTATTTATTTTTCTGAGATGGAGTCTCTGTCGCTCAGGCTGGAGTGCAGTGGCATGATCTTGGCTCACTACAATTTCCACCTCCTGGGTTCAAGCAATTCTGCCTGAGCCTCCTGAGTACCTGGGACAGGCATATGCACCACACCCAGCTAATTTTTGTATTTTTATTAGAGATGGGGTTTCACCATGTTGACCAGGCTGGTTTCAAAGTCCTAACGTCAGGTGATGCCACCCTCCTCAGCCTTCCAGAGTGCTGGGATCATAGGCATACCTGGCCTATTTTACATATATATTTAGCATTCTTTTTTAAAAAATAGATACGATGTCTTGCTATGTTGCCCAGGCTGTTCTCAAACTCCTGGGCTCAAGTGATTCTCCCATGCTGACCTCCCAAAGTGTAGGGATTATAGGCATGAACTATGCCCTGCCTATATAGTTAGTGCTCTTACCACATGCATTCTGCTTGTTTGCTACCATGTTTTACCCTTTCTTACCAAAGATTATTGAAGTTAAATGTTTCTGATTTTTCTTTTTTAAATTGAAAAATAAAAATTGTATATGTTGTTTCTGATTTAAAAATATCTCTTGTGTATACTTCATTCCCTCGAACAAGTACCTTGTAAATGGAAGTATTTAATATGATACATTTTAGCTCTTTTGTTATGATTAGAAAGTTCAGGCCAAATGTCTTGGAAGTGACAGTAGAGGTCAGAATTATTTGTAAAAGAGCACTCATCTCTAGATTTTAAGCTTTTCAGCAGAAACCATGATCAATGCAGGGGTAGCATACAGAAAGATTAAATAACATATGCTGAACCTCCTTTTATCTTCAAAGCCCTAGTTTAGCTCAGTCTAAAAACAGTTGAGTTACCAATGACAGTATCGCAATCCTGATAAGTATTCAATACCAGAAGTACAAATTATTTTAGGTTACGCATGAGGAACACCTTCCTGACCAAAGGGTTGTAAAATATTAGGAAACCTTTACAGAATTTCCTCAGTATGTTTTAAAGGGCAACTAGGCATAGATTAGAGTTTTTTAAGAATCTTGTATCATTTTACATAATGCATGAAGAATCAACTGACAGAGACCGCTTACTTGATTTGTATTAAACTTAAAAATAGTGGACTTGGTGATTTAAACAGTGTCTTTAGAAATACTAGACCCATTTAGGGATTATATTTCCTTGTTATTTTGGGTAGTATCTTGAGAATACTTGGATGTAGCTCATCCCCTTGGATAACTGGCAAGGAGACATGTCAGCTTGACCTTAAATTAAAAAATAATGATTATACTGTAGCATTGATAGTTAAGATAATAATTATTTGCTCTAATGCATATGAAGTATTAATACTTGTCTTTACATTAACATTTGTTGTGTAACAATGGCAATAACATTTACTACCTCAGAAGTGTTCAACATTAGCTCTTAACCATTTTCCCTGTTTGAGAAAGGGTTGTGCTCTGTCTGACGAAGAGATCAATAACATGTGAGACAACTTGGAAATAAAGAGATTACTAGAGTAAATGTAGGTAGCACAGATAGAAACTTCTGCCATTAGTGTTTAATTTTTAACATTCCTTGGGTAGTTTTTTTAAGGTATCAGGTTTTTCCAAAATAAAGGGAAGTTTTATCTGATAGCCTTCAGGTTCAAGTAAATAGAAGTAAGTTGTGTACCTATTATTTACTATAATAGTCTATATTTTATTTTCTCTTAAGAGCATTACAACATTGTGAAGAACTGATTCAGCAGTACAACCGCGCTGAGGACAGCATATGCTTAGCCGACAGTAAGCCTCTGCCTCACCAGAATGTAACTAACCATGTGGGCAAATCAGTGGAGGACTGCATGAGGGCCATCATTGGGGTGTTGCTCAATTTAACTAATGATAATGGTAAGATTTTTTTCCATGTTATTCTCATTGAAAGATGTATGTTGCATGTGAAAACAAGTTATTTTTCTTTGTTTCTCCTTTTCTTGGTGTAGTGATTTTTTGATTTGTCTTAATGTACTTATGTATAGGTTTAAAAATCGCTTTTAGGCCAGGTGTGGTGGCTCAAGCCTGTAATCCCAGCACTTTGGGAGGCCGAGGTGGGTGGATCACGAGGTCAAGATATCGAGATCATCCTGGTCAACATGGTGAAACCCCGTCTCTACTAAATATACAAAAAATTAGGTGGGCATGGTGGCGCGTGCCTGTAATCCCAGCTACTCAGGAGGCTGAGGCAGGAGAATTGCCTGAACCCAGGAGGAGGAGGTTGCGGTGAGCCGAGATCGCGCCATTGCACTCCAGCCTGGGTAACAAGAGCGAAACTCCATCTCAAAAAAAAAAAAAAAAATCGCTTTTAAGAGTTGATATTTCTATAAGCCTAGTATCTTGACCTGGAAGTATCAACAGTATGTTTCAATAGAGGAATGACTATACAATCCTAAGTTAATATCCATGTTAATAAATCTGTTATTACTGTCCTAAGGCAGAATCAGTAACAATTTTCCTATATCCATTTCTTATTTCAGAGTGGGGCAGCACCAAAACAGGAGAGCAGAACGGTCTCATGGCACAGCGTTAAACTGTGTGCTTCAGGTTCCAAAGTACCTACCTCAGAAGCAGAGATTTGATATCGAGTGCTGGTAAGTTGAAATGACTTTTTCAGGAAGAGTATTGTATCTAGTAAGGTGTGCAAAATATTCACCTTAGTTTGGGTTTAAGAACCAATCCTTTAATATTGTGGTCGTTTTCATGAATTTCCTAATAAACATACTTTTTTTTTTTTTGGAGACGGATTCTCACCATCACCCAGGCTGGAGTGTAGTGGCACCATCTTGGCTCACCGTAACCTCCGCCTCCTGGGTTCAGGCAATTCTCCTGCCTCAGCCTCCCGAGTAGCTGGGACTACAGGCGCGCACTACTGTGCCCAGCTAATTTTTGTATTTTTAGTAGAGACGGGGTTTCACCTTGTTGACCAGGATGGTCTCGATCTCTTGACCTCCTGATCCACCCTCCTCAGCCTAGTAAAATCTTTTATAAATAAGCTGGCTTTCGAATTATTGAGAAAGTATTAGAAATGCTGTGAAAATGTCCAGCATTGTTGTTTGCCTTTGTTGATCACGTGATTTCATGCTTATTCCTGCAGAATACGATGAAGATTTGTTACAAGGGTTATAGAACTATACAACCCCGCCCAAGACAGAATGATCTTTGCTTGTGTAATTTTTGATAAAAAAGACGTGGAATAATTTGGTTTAATGAAAACATCTACATTCTGAGTCATTGGTAAAATACCCTTATATTTAACCTTAAGAAAATTACTTAAATAGGGTGGGCACGGTGCCTCATGCCTCTAATTTGGGAGTACTTCAGGAGGCCGGGGGGTGCCGATCACCTGATGGCAGAAGTTCGAGACCAGCCTGGTCAACGTGGTGAAACCCTGTCTCTACTAAAAATACAAAGAAAATTAGCCTGTATGGTGGCGGGCACATGTAGTCCCAGCTACTTGGGAGGCTGAGGCAAGAGAATCACTTGAACCCAGGAGGTGGAGGTGGCAGTGAGCCCAGATTGCACCACTGCACTCCAGCCTGGGCAATAAAAGCAAAACTGTCTCAAACAAACAAAAAAAGAAAAGAAAATTAAACACCTAAAATTCACAGCTACAAAAATGGTTAACAGGGATTTTACTTTAAATAATGACTATCACAGTTTTCATCATCTAGATAAAATATTAACCTTGTAAATGTAATGGAATAAATGGTTGTAAACAGACTTGTCATCTGATTTGGTATCTAAGGTTATTAACAGATATTAAGTAGCTGGGTAATTTCCAACTCAAAAAATGTAGAAAAACATTTTTTAAATGTTCTTATTAGGAGGTCAATATCTTTGTCTAGTTCAAAGCTTTTATAAAAGTTATTTATAAAATGAGGTAACAGGAACCAGGAAATAAGGGAAGAAAGTTAAAGATATAAAGAGGTATTTTTGATAAAGGTAAAAAAAAGCAATTTTATATAAGAAGAAATCTTGTGTGGTAAATTTTTTTACCTAAAATAAAATGACCAAGTTGTTCAAGAAAGAGAATATTTAGGCAAGACAGAAAGTCTAAGCATGTTGTGAATCATCTATATAAACTGATATTAAGATCAGTTAATGGAAACTTCATGGGGTTTTTTTTGTTTTTTTTTTTTTAGAAAACGGGGTGGTATAATTTAGTTGGATATGAGTAAGAAGAAAATCCTAATAGTCTTTCCAGAGGTGGGTCTTTTATATTAACAAAATTACACAAATAGAAACTATAATTGGTTAAAACCAGACTTTATTTAAAATATTTATTTACTTATAAGACAGAGTCTCACTCTTTCACGCTGGACTGCACTGGTGCAATCTCGGCTCACTGCAACCTTTGCCTCCTGGGTTCCAGGAATTCCATCACAACTTTGCTTAAGTTTCTCTCCTTTCCCCAGCTCCCGGACTGTGCTCTGCCTTCAGTCCGAGCCAACATACAAACCCCGTTTATGCCCCTCCTAACAGGCTGACTTCTGGCTGAAACATTCCCTGAGCTTAAATCTGATTTTGCCACTCTCCACTCTTCCTCCCACCTTCCTTCTAATCTTGTTTGCTCCTCCATAAAAAACACAGCCCTTATCTGTATTTTATGAGATGCTTGCAGATCTGATGCTTGGTGATTTCCCCATTGTAATACTCCTTTAGAATAAAGTCACATCTTACCTACATCTGAATTTATTTGACGATATCTAGAAACAGCCCCAGGACAATAATAATTATTCCCTCACAGAGGACATCACAACCTGCCTCCTATTCTCAACTCTGATCATGTCTGTCTGTGTATTCCCAGCTTTCCAGCGCTCTGTAGCTTCTCTCAGTATAAAGGCCCTGTCTATGGCTGCTGCGAGCAGGCTGGGACACCTGAAAAGGAGGACCCTCAGGAAGAAAAGACTGTGCTATTCATGAACTCCTTTGACATGTCTAAATACCAATACTGCAATTTGGGGGAAAGAAAAAATATTTTTAAAAAACAAAAAAGTTATCTTTTAAAAATCTAAAAAATTTAAATCATTGTTTTAAAAGCCTTACACAGGCCGGGTGCCCCTGTAATCCCAGCTACTTAAAATAAAACATTTAATTAAGGAGGGAGGCTGAGGCAGGAGAATGGCTTGGACCCAGGAGGTGGAAATTGCATTGAGCTGGGATCACACCACTGCCCCCTAGCCTGGCAACAGAGACTCATCTGAAAACAAAACAAAAAAAGCCTGACACCATTCACAGCTATCAGCCGACACACTAAGCAAGCATCTGTGAGTGGGCAGAAGGAGCCTTCACTTTAAAGTGGTTCCTATAACTGTTTACATTAAGAGGGACAGAAGGGTGAAGACTGTGTTGTTGCCCTGACAAGGTCCCATTCCTTATTATAAAGGACAATCTTAGTTGTCTTTGAGTTAACTTGAATTGAGGTATTTCTTCTTTTGAAAATACAAACTTTTCTAGTTATTTAGCAGGAGAGGTGGTATTTTCCTGTCTTTTTTGGTGAGGGGTTCAGATGTTACAAGACCCCTCATTTCTTCCTTCAGGAGAGGATGGCCCTGGTGCGCTGAAGAGTAGTTACATCATCAACGCTCACAGACCTCGTCATGCCAGTATAGAACACTTCGTATTGTTCCATCCTTGATAAAGCCTAAGAATGTCAAATAGAAAAGAGGTACAATTTAAAAAAGGGTTCCATCCTTTTAACAATCACCACTGATGGGAAGCCACACATGCAGACTCCTTTAGCTAGTTCAGCTACAGCTACTTTGGCTGAGGTTTACACGCCCCCTTCTGGCAGCTAACTTAGGTCATCTCCTTTCAGGGCTAGAATTAGATTGCGGGAGCAAAGGGGAGCTTGCTTTATTAAGTTACTTAAAAATTGGGCTCCCCAGAATGTCACTGTATTGTGACAGGCTTCTAACAGTATTATCTGTTACCTGTGCACTTGTGCCTTAAAAATAATGAAAGCACAGTTTTGCAAAAAGTTTATTAATCTATTCACATTCTATCCAATCTATAAGTTATTATATACTCACAGAAAATTTTAACTGGGCAGGCATGTGCTGGATTGTATTGAAATGTCAACAAAGTCTAATGATTAGGCATCAAAAGGCACTACATTTATGCTTATGGTAGAAAATTGTATTATTTTAAAATACTTCCACGATGCCACAGAACATGCCTATTTTAAATGTTGATGCTTGTCAGCTGTGAGTAATTTTGCTGTGTACTTACCAAAAGTAACAAACCATAAATATTACTTTGTTCCATAAAAGTGATCATTTCCAGTAAAATCCCATGTACTTCCTGCAGCCAGTACTTGAGACACGTACGCCTCATACTGTCTAAGTGCATGTCTCTTGGCTTAGGCACTAATGGTTTCTCTAACACGCCCATGGGACTGTGCACTGTGGTATACACAGTAGAAAATGACAGAAATTTGCAAACTGAGTAACAAAAAGTAGTCAAGAGTGGTAAGTGCATTGTGGTATGTAGACATCATTAGAAATACAATGGCAAGAAATCATTTCTGTATATTATTTGCAGGGGCAAAGGTTCAAAACGTTCAAGTTCATTAAGAATAAATTTGATTAAAACATTCTGAATTATGGCCACAAAAGAGATAACATCTATAATTTTCCAAAAATGTGAATCCTTAGAAAAACCATGAGATACAGGAAATAGAATGCCAAAAGGTTAATAAGCTCTTCAGTATGTTAATTTTGAAGCTTTCCATTTTTCTAATCACTACTTCATATGACCTAGTCATACATGTTGGCACTGGTGTTTGACTCAAAATCCACTTAGTTACTTCATAGCCTTACCTGCAGATCCCATGCTCTTTTTCTGTCAAGAAGGTAAGTAGGCAAACTCAGGCCATGGCTGACTATAAAGTCACGAAGACGGAAGTAGAATCTGGTATAAACGCTTTTAGAAATGTTAGTATCATAATCAATTAGCCTCAAGAAGTACATTTCCAACTTATTCCTGGGGAAGGAGAAACACAACAGAACAAACACAGGACCATGTTAGTTCACTGGGCTATCTTCAAAAACATTATTCTCATGTAAGAAATGTGGTAAGGCTATCATGTGCTCTAGTTTATTAGAATTCATGAAATAACACACTCTGGACAGAACCCAATCTAGTGAAGTAATACAAGAAAGAGTGCAACTTTCCCAATTCCCTTTGAAAACTCAGAAAACAAACCTGTACCCCAAATGAAACATGAATGTAAAAAATGTTAATAAACTTGATTTTCCCTATGTTCCTAGACATATTCCCATTTAACATGGAGAAAGATGACATAAACTTAAGAAACATGGTAAAGGCTTCAGCTTTTTTACTTCTCTGAAAACATGAAAGTATTCAATGAAAAATTCCTTATAAATAGAAACACGTGGTAAGGTCTTCACTTGTTCCAGTTCCACAAGAAATAAGAACTCATTTCTGAAATAAAACCTATGAATGTATAGAATGTAGAAATGCCTTCATTTACATGATATTTGCTCCAAGACCCATGATAATACACACTGGAGACAGACCTTATAAATATAAGAAAGAACATTGGATTGGAACCCTGGTAGATTACCAAATAC